CAGCATTATGTAGAGATTTGAAAGCAAGAACCAGAATTTTAAATTGAGCTCTATATTTTATAGGAAGCCAATGTAGGGATTGACAGAAGGGTGAGGCATGGGAGGTGCGTGCGGACAGGAAGATGAGCCTTGCCGCCGCATTCATTATGGACTGTAACGGCGCTAGTTGGGAGCACGTAAGACCACTGAGAAGCGGATTACAGTAGTCAAGGCGAGAAAGGACAGTGGAATGGACCAACACCTTAGTCGCATCTGGCGTTAAGTAGGGGCGGATGCGCGCAATGTTTTTTAGATGGAAATGACAGGATTTGGCGATAGATTGAACATGAGGCTTGAAGGAGAGGTCGGAGTCAAAGAGAACACCTAGGCAGCGAGCCTGCGTGGTGGAGCTGATGGTAGCACCATTGACTTGGAGGGAGACAGACACAGGAGTAACAACACTTGAGGGAGGAAAGACCAGAATTTCAGTTTTGGTCAAGTTTAGTTTAAGGAAGTGGGCAGCCATCCAGTTAGAAACAGCAGAGAGGCAGTCAGAGACACTAGTCAAGAGGGACGGGGAGAGATCAGGAGAGGACAGGTAGATTTGCGTGTCATCTGCATAGAAATGATATTGGAAGCCAAAGGAGCTAATGAGTTTACCAAGGGAGGCAGTATAGATGGAGAACAGTAGGGGACCAAGGACTGAACCTTGGGGGACACCAACAGAGAGGAGTTGGGGAGAAGAAGCAGAGCCAGAGAAAGAAACACTGAAAGAGCGCTGGGAGAGGTAGGAGGAGCACCAGGAGAGAGCAGTATCTTGTAGACCGATATTGCGGAGGATGAGAAAAAGCTGTTGATGATCAACAGTGTCAAAAGCCGCAGACAGGTCAAGGAGAATTAGGATAGAGTAGTGACCACGAGATTTTGCAGCAAGTAGATCATTGGATACTTTGGTCAGTGCCGTTTCCACAGAGTGCTTAGCATGGAAACCAGACTGAAGCGGGTCTAGCAGAGAGTTGGACTCGAGGAAGTCTGTCAATCTCGCATACACAATTTTTTCAAGGATCTTGGATGCAAAAGGCAGTAGCGAGATAGGACCATAGTTGGATGGGGAGTTAGGGTCAAGATTGGGCTTCTTTAGAATTGGGGTTACAGTTGCATGTTTGAAGGGCAATATAAATATACCAGAGGAGAGAGAGAGATTGAGAATTTTAGTGAGAGGTGGAGAAAGAGAAGAAGACAGAGATACGGATGAGTATTCATGAGGCTCAGACAGGGTTTGTGGAGCATGCAGTTGAGCAACCTTCCTCAGGTAAGCAATCTAATGATTTCCCCTCAAATATGTGGCCAAATATTTTTTTGAAGTGGGAGGACTTGTCATCAGATACATAGATTCTTCTTTTGGAGTGCATTCTGTTCTTGGCTCTGCGGTTTCTTTTTTCCGGGCGTTTTGCTTGCAGATATTTTAGATTTGGTGGACTGGTCTAGGGAATATAAATTTCTGACATTTTATTTCCATCCATCTTCTAATGATGCTTTAACTCTCAGTGTTAACATTGCAAAATATGAAGCCTCCTGTCATGTGGTAAAATTGAAGATTATGCTAGTTTTAGTGTACTTCTAATCATAATTTTAGTCATGACAGGAGGCTAGTGTTTTCCCTCCCTACCTTTTCCCCTTCTTCTATTTTCTTCGCTGAATTGTTGACATGTGGTTCTGTTTTTTATTTGTGATTGGAGATTGCTTTTAATAATGGTTTGATTGTTTACTTTGTTTATAGTTTTTCTGTATCTAAAGGTTTTTTGTTATTAGATTTTTGATATACGAGTATATATTTAGATTCATTTTATTATATGTGCTTAGGATTCATTGGATGGCTTCAGTTTTATTTATTTATAGCACATGTCTTATTACCTTCTGACTAAGCCTGTTACATATTTTCTTTTCTGTTGAATTTGCTTCGGGGGACGCACATGATGTTCAGGTCCTGTTGTCGGAGTCCTCGTTTTACAGGATGCTAATTCCAGGATTTCAAGGTGGGTTTTTTTTGCTTGTTTTATGTTTTCACTATTCTGCCTATGTTTGTCGCATTAAAAAAGATGAGGTGGTTAGGTTCACTGAACCTCATATACATAGTACTTGCTCTTGATTGGTACTTTGTTTCTATGTATCTTTCTTTACTCCTTTAGAGCTCATAAAAGAAAGATATGCAAAATACTGGCCTCCTGTCATTACTAAAATTAAGATTATAAATAACCCTAAAGCTAGCATGATCTTGAATTATATTCCACATTGTGTTTCCATTTTTAATAATGTAGCAAGCAATGTTTTTACTTTTTGTGATATTCATCTGTATACTAGCAGGCTTAACATTCTTTATCAGATTTAAATATTTATAAGAAAGTTATATTTTAACTTTCGTAGACCCAATTTGTGAATACCTGGAATTTTGAAAGTTAAAATCTCTTAACTGGTCATTGTGTTAATTATTTATACAGGTGTTTATGTGATTCCTGTACTTAATCATGCTTGACAATCTTGTTTGGGTGCGGTGATGATGAATGTTGGGTGTACTATGGTACAGCTCATCAATATCAATAAATCTCATTTTAATCTCAGGTATTTCAACTGCAGGCGTGTAGGGACAGGATTATTCATAACTCACAAAACATATCTTCCTGGAAGTAAAATTAATCGGTATTCAGACACAAGCCATATATACGTGGTTGCTCAGTACTAGCAGGAGCCTGCTCAACAGAGTCATAGACCTGTTTTTAATGTATACTCATAACCTGGGCCAGCATCATCAACTTTTTCAATATGTATGGCGTCAGAGGAACCTAATCCTCTGTTTACCATGGAAGTGCGGGACATTGTTATTTGCCCCTCTGTGTGCCTTTCTTTGCCCCTCAGGTACCCTTCTTCAGCCCCCTTCCCTGTGCCCTTCTTTAGCCCCCTCCCCTCCTGTGCACTAATTTTGCCCTATCACCTTCTGTGCCATTATTTTGCCCCTCCTGTGCACTTCTTTTGCCCACCCCTCCCCTCCTGTTTATTATTTTGCTTCCCACCCCTCCTGTGCCCTGCTTTTGTTCCCTCCCCTTATGTGCCCTATATAGCCCCCCTTTTCTCATGTGCACTTATTTTGCCCCCTCTCCTGTGTCCTCTTGAGCGCCCCCTCACCTTCTGTGCCCACTTTTGCCCCCTTTAGCTCCCCTCCCCTTCTATGGTCTTCTTTTGCTCACCTTCCCACCTGTTCCCTTGTTTGTCCCCTTTCCTTGTGATGTGCCTGCTCAACCTCACCTGCTCAGCTGGCGATCCACGGTAGAGAAGCCTTTGTTTCCTGTACCTGGTCTGACAGGAAGCAGTTCTGTGCTCTCTGTAAGCACTTCCTGTCAGACCAGTTTGGGGAACAGAGGCTCCTCTACTGCGGTCTACCTGCTTAGCCATGTTACAGGAGGAGAGTGCTGTGTAGTGCGCTCCCCTACTCTACTGCCAGTAACCCGGACATCGCTCATAGAGAGCACACAGAGTGAGTGTGCATGCTCAGGCCACCCTTTTTTTTTTAATAATTCTTTATTTTTGTTGTGCAGTGGAACGAACACAGATGTGCATTGACATATAGAGTAATAATGAGCATTGTTCAGACAATATGAAGTAACATGTCAAGATTAGCTGCACTTTTTTATTTTCGTTAAGATTTTGAAAATAAACATAAACAATGCAAGTGAAAACAATAGCACAACTGGAGGTGCAGGATATGCCTGCTAGATATGCATGAGTAGAGATATTTAACTATGGTATGCTTAAGTGTATTATGAGGTACAACTAACGATGGACAAATTATGCATAGGACATGAGGATTAGTCACTGTGTGTAGGATTACACAGGAGAGAACTATGCCTAATGCATCTGTTGAGATCATGAGAGAAGAAAAGTTAGTTTAGGTTAGTCTAGTTAGATAGAGGTACCAGTGGGAGCATGCCTTCTTAAAGTGATACGAAGGGGACAAAAAAAAAAAATAACATAAAAAAGCAAATCATAACTGAAAACTTTAACTGCTGCAGGTTTAACTCGATTCAATTATGGATGCTAAGTGATGACTTATAAAAGAGGGGAAGGGGAGATACCATTGTCCAACCCCCCCGTCCCCCCATTTGTAGAAAGTTCCTATCTACTCCCTCACACTAATAATTACAAAAGGGACAAATAAATCTAATATCTGTAAAAAAAAAATTATACTTGATAAGAAGTCTTCTTTCTTCTAATTCTTATGTTCTTCAGCCTGAAAAATGGCCTTATAAAAATCTATAATTCCAAACACTACTGATTAAAACCCCCCAAAAATGCTGGATTTCGCCCATGGGGGGGCTTGTCACAGATTGAGCACTCTCAGCAAGGAAAGCCCTTTTATAGGCATTCCCATGCTATGAGAGCTCTCACAAAGCATGAGAAATTTGGCACACTTTGTAATATGATCAAGAGCGGTATGACAACATCACACTTCTCTCGAAACGTGGACAGAGCACTCTGATTGGTTGGTTTGCTAGCCATCCAATCAGAGCACTTATGGTCATATTGTAAAGCATGGGATATTTTCCCCTTCACCCATAGCCCAAGGGTGGTTGCACAGGGATGACTATTCCCCACCCATTATTTTACAGGGAATGGACATTTTCCACTGACTGGGCAGCAATGGCATATGTAGGCATGTTACCTCCATTGTAGTAATATAGGGATCTTATTGACTCTCATAAGTTTTTTAGTTTTATTTTTTTCATTTTTTACATTTGTAATGTAAATAAATATATATATATATAACCAAAAGGGCTGCACTCACCTGAACATGCATACTTATAAGGGTGCCGCTGGGTGCCAACTCATACAACATACAAAATCCAGCGCACTCATTCACTAAACAGCAATTTCAAAGCTCATAGAATGTAATTGTTTTATTTAAAAACACTTCATCTAGGCAAAAAATATATAATGGTAAGTTTAGTTATGGTATATGATCATACATTGCATAATCCTGTCACAACGTCAATGTACCCCTGTAACATATTCATCCTCACCTTGCGGCATCTGCAGTAATTGCCTTGCTAACAAACGTGGTAGTGCCGTTCAGCGGCCATACGTCAATGTGTCTGACTCCTGCAGCATGTTGGGGGATGCTGGCCGCTGCGGATCCACACTAATTTGCAACCCCATGTCCGCCCACAGCATTGATGACGTTGGCGTGCGTGTGACGTCACGTAAAGGCTCGGGTACGACCAATCGGATCTGAGAAAGGCTTGTTTAAACTCCTTTTCCCTTTTCCTCATTGCCCTGTCAGGGTTTCCCTAGTGGTTGTCCGAGAGTGTGTTCCTGAGCGTTTATTTCTGGTTATTGACTTTGGCTTCGTTTTGACTTCCCTGTATTCTGGTATCCCTGACTTTTGGCTTTCTCTTATTGTTGTGTCCCATTCTGTGTCTCTGACCTCGGCAAGTATTCTGACTATTCTTTGGTACATTAAGTCCAGCCATTTTAAGTCCTGGTAGGACGTTACCTTTTAGTTCTAGGTGTGATACAATTCTACGTGCTGGATCAATTAGTAATCCCGACAACCCCATTCTTATCAGGTCCTACTCTAGCAACCCAATGCCTGCTCTTATGAGATTTTCACTTATTTGGGAAATGCTTCCACCTGGGACTCTCTGCAGGGCAAGGTTAAATAGAGCACTGGAATGAGGCACCTGACATGGCCTATTTATTTTTCCCATGATTTGAAAAACAGAGCAATGTGGTTACATTGCCTTTCAAATATCTGGACTGTCCACATATTTTAATGTAATTGTCATGTGAACACATTTCTTTTCATGAGTAAAACCAGAACAGATGGGGCAGAGTCTATTCCAAAAGTTCTACCTCCCCACAACTTAAAATGCCACCAGCCATCACTGGAATTCCACCCACAGTCTAACATAATTGTAACTGCAAACGTGCTGTTATGGTTATGATGCTTTAAGAGCCCATTTAAATGTTAGAAAAAATACACTGTGACAAGGGGCAACTAACAGACCATGTGAGAATGGTGGAGCAGAAGAAAAATACTAATCATATAAGTTAAGCAGAGTTAGGTCAAAGTATACATGTTTGAAAAGAATGGTGGCTCTTAAATAAAGTACTGTGAGACATAGTGTATGTGACAAACTTCCCTTTCCATGTGGGTTTGCCACGAGCTCCTGGAAGAGCCTGCTTGCCAGCCTCCTGCCCACAGACTGTGGGCCCTTTAATATGCCCTGCAAAAGTCTCTGTTCGTGTATTTGGACTATATGGTTCGGGAACCGAAAAGCCGCACGAACCAGACACCACCCGGGAGCTTGTTAAGCCTAATCGATACTTTGTAGCAATTTCCACCTCTGCGTTCTAAGTGTTCGTCTGGGTGGCCGCATTTCCTATCGACGACCACAAGGTGGCGGTCATCTTGTTCACCCGAACGCAGGCAGCGGTGTTTTGTGGTTGAGCTCATGGAACTGAAAACGGACACAGAAACTCCCAAAACACTGCTGGACTTCCAGCTTGTACTCCCATAACTATGTGTCGTCTGGTTACTGGGAGGGGAAAGGGCTAATTACTAATCACTGTTCCAGTGTGGAGGATTCAACAGGGGAAGGTCCTTGTAAGGATTAGAGCTCCCAGGACTGAGTGTCGCCCAGTGCCTGGTGGTGGATAGCGCGAGTTCCCCATTCAGCTCCAGGAGGGAGAGCTTCCAGGACCCCAGTCAAGTCACCGTGACTGTGGGCAGAAGTTCTGTGGTTTGTCCCTTGTTCCAGCTAGGAAGCGGTCCTAGCTAGGGGTACAGGGAGCTCTGTTACAGTGTAGTCATCCGTAACTTACAATGGCCTCACAAAAAAAATAATTGTGCAACAATGTAATTGAGCAACTAATTGTGTAAACATATACAAGTTTATTCATATTACAGAAAGTTGTGCAACACAAAATTGATCACAAGATATTAGGTAGGTAATAAAACATTTTGAAGTTTCTTAAATTTGTTTAAAGGTGAATCATCACTTCCAAGAGTTCTCCACTGTTAGAAAATCCCCTATATTCAACTTACATATGTTTGTGAGGTCTGAAACATAAAACTCAATGAAGGAATCCGCACCCTGTATTTACCTCTATCTTTGATCTGAGCTCCTTTGGTTTTTATCCCTGTCTAACATTGTGATAAACTCTGTCCCTTGCACCTGTGAGCGAGCATTGAGAGAACATAAAGAGCACAGGAGGCACAGAAACTGGATGAACCATACAATTTTAAAGGGTTCTCCAAACAACCAAAATGTTTTTGGTTCTCCTCTGACAATTCAGTATACACCCTGCATGTGCGAGGAGTGAAATGGATTTTAATGGCAAATGTTAATTCTTTTATATAATTTTAAAAGAAAATGTAGCATCACATGAAAAGTGTTTAACACAAATAAATGATTTTAAATGTTTTATACAATAGTGTTGGTTCCAGAGAGATGCTGGTTCCACTTTAGTCTCATGCCTTTATTAGTTTTAAAGGCTTTTCAAAGGTTTCAAATGCTTTATAGGTAAATAAATATTGACTTTTCATTGCTACTATATTGATAACTTTCAGTTTATGCATTATTGAATGATCTGTCAGTATTATGAAAACATGTCTTGACCAATTTTATTCTCTACGTTAATTTTATTTTGTAGACCTTTTGATAGTTTTATAACAGTAAATAAACGGTGCCCTGTCTCTTGTTACAAACAGTAAGTTTCTAGCTGACCTGGTTTCACATGTAAGGTGAGATCTTGACCATAGATTGTAAGCTTACGGGCAGGATCCTCTACCTGTTGTATCGGTCTGTTCTTATTGTGTATGTCTTTTTCCCAATTGTACAGCGCTGCGGAATATGTTGGCGATTTATAAATGCCAGTAATAAATAAATAGCCATCTTATTCAGACTTGTATCTGGTGTAGTATAAGTGATTTATTGCTGTGTGATTCATTGGGTGCACCGTTGGCTTGATAAGTACATTGAATAATCCAATATCTGATGGCAAATAAAATGGCCTTCCATTCAATGCTTTCTGATATTTACAATGATAGTTTTAGCTATCCAAAATGTTTTCAAAATGTTACTTTAAAACCACAGTGGTAAAAGTAGTAACATTTTGGTTATTACACCTTCTTCAAACCTGTAACTCTTTAATGAACACCTGTGTATAATTAAAACCACATTTATTTTGATAACATCTAACATTCATAGGAATATACAAATGTTCAAAGAACTCCTATATTACAATGTTAATGGAAACAGTACATGCAAAACTTATATGTTAACCATCTTCCCTCCATAATATAACAGCATTTGAGTTTGATATTTGAACTCAGACGTCAAAATAGACTACCAGTCCTCACACATTCCCAACAGTATGTTTACGTTTCAGAATGGAACCCGTTTACTTTTATTTAATCACGTTTTTTAGTGCTAAGTTCAGTCTAATTTTTTTTTTTTACTGTTATTTTGATGCTTATTCAGCTAACAGAGTGCTCCAAACTATGACCCTGTAGACATTGCTGATCTACAACTCTCATGATTCTCAGCATCATCTGGAGGGGCCAGAGTTTGGAGACCCATCAGCATAGTGCCTAGGACATAGATAAACTGTATGGTTATAACAGCCATAATTAAACTTTTGCACGATTTTTAAATCTAGGTTCCTTAGTGAAGCCATCCTGGCCCATGCACATTCTCTTCATACATATGAAGGAAATGATAAACTAATTAATAAAAATAGGATCATATTCAATTTTAATGTGCTTAAATGGTTACTCCAAGCGGCATGACCCCTTCAGTGATTTTGATCATGGTGCCTAGAGTCTGTATATGCAGCGTTTCATTATGAGATGCTGCACATGCAGAGTTTAATCCCTCTGCTGTTGAAGGTGTAACTCCATCTCTGGCACCATCATTGGGACATAATTATCCAGTCCGTAACAAGAGTCAACTTGGCTTTGGCGCTGGAATGAAGGTGAATTTGATTTATTATTTTTTTTTCTTAAAACAATGTTTTTTTAATTGGAGTAACCCTTTAACAATAAGTTGTATTGTTCATCCAGTTTTTTTAAATTATGTTTACATTGTGTGGGGTTCTACACATATAGTGGCATTTTAAGATTAAATAGCGATGAGTTTTTATGGACTAAATAAGTTGTCCTACAGCAACAATATTGATTTAAGGTTTGACAGTTAAATACTAAAAGTAATATCTAATATCTATAGATAATATAGGCACACATACCTTTATCCACACAAGTTATAAAAGCTGGTAAATAATCTCGGCCTGGATTTTCTTAGCAGTGATGAGTTTTCTTTTGCTTAATGAATAGCAATTTCCCTTAAGACTTCAGTGGAGCAAATATCATTTAATAACTAGTTAAACAACTCTATAATTACAGAATCCAGCCCCCCAGAATTTCACTGCAAATAATATAATATCAACATCATAGTGAACATCGTATTAACTTACATAAACTCCCTAACTACCATGAGCTAACTTGTGCTTCGCATTGCAAATGAAATAAAAATGAAATTCAGCATATAAAGTCCTCCTAATATTTTCTTTGTTCCAGCACTGGTTTTTACCATGCAAAGAAATCAAAATTTCTTATCTTGCTCCATTATTATCCCGTACATCTCTGCAGATGGAATGTGAATGGGGACCCACCTTAATTTCACTCACTACAGCAACTTTTGCAGTGCACACTTCACGGCTGTTAACCATGGACTGTTGAAGGAGGTAAAGATTATAATACAGGAAATATTTGGATATGTCAACAATAGTTTTCAATGCCCAGTACAGTACTAATATATAGTAATACATCCCATGTTTCAAATAAATATTATGCAGTTTTTCAAATAAAGAGAATTTGGTAAAACAAACGTTAACAAAATTGGCAGTGTAAGGAGCAAAAATTGCACACTTCAGTTTTTCTGCTATCATAGTAGCTAAACAAATACTTTTTAAATAAATATGTATGGTACTATTACATTTGACACTGACATTAATGTGATATAGTGAGGTTATCAGTATAGGGCACTTAAATATTCAATTCTTTGGTACCTGTGCCCCAGCTTTGGTCCTTGTTCACAGATCCAAAATATCAATAGAATAACAGACCCCTCAGCACATGGCATGAGGTATAATGGTAGGTTATTCAGTCATCAAGCATGAGTTGGCAATGTTTGGATTTACTAAGTGTCTTTATCAAGGCATAAAATATGTGCATCATACAATTAGAAATCCAATCACAGTGCAGTGTATAATTCACATGTTAGCAACAAGCAAAAAAGATAATTAATGTGGCCCTCCACTGCCCGGATAAATAAAAATTACTGTTTAGTAGATATACCTCAATTAAAAATGTGTAAAAGCTGCAGATCTCTTGTCTGAAGCCTTTGCAAGCCCTCCCATTCTAACACAGCCAAGACTTTCTATGGCTCTCCAATCACAGATGTCACAATGCAGCTCAATGAGAAGCATTTGCAAGGCAGGTGCCTGGCTCTTGTATTTAGCTCCTCTTAGCTAAGAAACCAGGAAGTAACAAGATTGGTTGTCTGACTGACAGCCAGGGGGATCTAAACAAAGTTAATTTATAAAAGTGCCAATTTCTACTGAAATCTGCACTATTTATAAAATTAAAAAAAAGAGAGGATACATTCTTCACGCATAAAGAATTTCAGCAAGCAAAAATTCTTTAGGGGTCTAGAGAGTCCATTTAAAGTATTACTCCTGATGAAGAGGCACAAAATGCGCCAGAATTGATCCAACATTTCCCTTTGTATGCCCCAGCTATCATGCTAAGTTAATTTGAATAAAAGTTACTTTTCCCCCATTTTTTGTATTGAAGAATTTCCTCTTTTACTTGGTGAAGAAATCAGACAGTCTTAGTTCATTAACACCGTCTATCCATATAATATCTAATTTAAAGTGAGCATGTTATGTAGAGTTATTCCTCTTAAATCCATGAAACCACATCGTATCAAAGTGTACTAAAGAAATCCTCATTCAACAACCACATTTCAATTTCAGTGAACATATTATAACTATCCTTAAATATAAAAAATAGAGATTTATATCTCAATAAAGAAGAAAAGGCTAATTAGGACAGCGGAGTTACCATCTAAAAATACTATGAAAGTAACACTGCACTGTGATTGCACTGCTAATTGTAAGTCCATCTTTATATAATTATGCATGATGCACATGTTGTTTAGCTTGATAAAGACACTTGGTGGTTTATTGAGCCATCAAATTAATTGGCAATGTTTGGACACGTGGTTATACCTTATTGCTCTGTTTTAAGGTGTCTGTCACTGATGTGATATTGTCAAGATATAAATTTTAAAGCAAACAAAAGGTCCTAATGGCCATTTTTAGAATCTATCAGTACAATCATAATGCTGTTTCCACGGTCCTTTTACTTATATGCTGCCTCGCCCCCATACATGTTATACTTCTTTGCAATATCCATATTTTCTAAAGGGTGTCATCTTCTTGTTCTCAAACCTCATTAAATCAATCACTTGTGAGTCTAGTCGTCTTGTTCATCAAAATTTTTGTATTTTCTTTCAAAGAAGCCACACTAAAACAAAAAAGAAACACAACAAGAGATGTCAAGATATAAATGCTTTTCATTTTGTGGATGAAATGTTACTATTTAGCTCCAATTTGTTCCAATTTAGCAGTTTTGACAAAAAGAATATGATTGATTATATATATATGTATATCTCTATAAATTCTTGAATTTATTCTTAACTAGAAGTCACGACTTATTTACTAACAGGAAAGATTTTAAAAACTGTCCATATTTTCTCTCCCATCACATATTTAAACTCATATTTCTATGTAATCTTTAGACATCACACATTTATGATACCATAGCAAAGTGCTTGAAATTCAATAAGATACAGAAATGCAAACACATGTGATTACATTTTTTGGGGGGGAGGGAGGGGGTAATTAGACATATTACACAAAAGGATATGACAAAAGGCAACTGAAAAAAAATTCTCCTACAATAATCTATCTTATTGTGAGTAACTCCTACTTTTAAGTATAGAGTCTCATTGCTCAACAATGACTAATTTATAAAGAGCTCTCTGTTTTCATTATCTCAATTCTAGTAAAATACTGTGACTAAATATTGTATGGTGGTTTGGAAAATAAATACATACCTTGACAAGTATTACCACAATAACAAGCAGAAGAAGAATTCCTCCAATTGAGCTACCAATCATGACTGGCAAAAGATTAACCGGAATATCCTTATGAAGCATGACAGATATCTGTTGGGTAATGAAAAATGGGTTTACACAAGAGAGTAGGCCAGGTGAATCATAAAATTGCATATATATATAATATATTGCATCTGCTAGTGCAGTGGCTCTCAAACTGTGGCAAAAATGTTACTTCAAATGTTGAACAAAGTTACATAATGCTATCTATGTTACAGAGAAGAATATACAACTTCTGATCAGTGTTAATTTTGTCGACTAACTATTATAGTCAAATTTTAGCCAACTCATTTTTTTTAAATTTAGTCAACTAAAACTAGACTAAAGCTAAGAAATTGGCCGCCAAAAATAAAAAAAGAACAGAGGGGCCGCAGAAGGGACAAAAGAGACAGACCAGGGCTTGAGAGAAAGACACCTAGAGGAGATAGGAGGACACAAAGAGACACAGAGGGGCTATGGAAGGGGAAAAAGAGACAGATAGAGACTTTTAGTCGACTAAAATCTACTGGAGATTTAGTCAACTAAAATTAGACTAAAACTAAAACAATTCAGATGACTAAAATACCACTAAAACAGCTTTTTAGTCAAAAGACTATAACTATAACTTGAAATTGGATTCCCAAATTAACATTGCTTCTGATACCTCCCAACAAGCCCATCCAAATATGAGAACATTTCGGAAACTCACCTGTGCTTTTTCTGAATTCTCCAAATTCACAAACAGGTTCTTGTCATAAATAATTTCACCAGTGACCAGAAACTTTTTTGTATTCTCTACTATCTACAACATAAAAAACCCCACAAAAGACAAACGTCAAGTAAAGTAATCTTTAATTACAAATAATTGAAACATAGTGGTTTATTACAATACGGTGCTAAGCGGTCTTTTTTTTTTTTTTCTTCCTTGGTCATGTGGTATTATATTTTGCAAGCCATTCCTCAGTTTACCAGAACAGGTTCAGTGAATAGTCCAGTTAGTGCCCAGCATATTTACGGGACACAAGTGCTTTTATTATATCAGCTACCTCCTGTGATTAGCTTATATTTTAATTTAAAGCTGGTACCCTCTCCCTCATACCAAGGGCACTCATGATTAATTCAGAAGGAACTTCATACATTTCAGTTGTAGAGGGAGTGCACAGCTACATTTTACCTTCCTGTGGCAGGTAGATTCGTTTAGATTTTCTACTTTCCTCCACTAAATGATCCCTGTGAGCCCACTATCTCCCATTTTCTGTGCATCAATTTTCCGTGCATTGTGAAATATGGCAGATGCTGGAGTATTAAGGGACTCCAGTTAGGTTGTAATATCACTGGTGGGACTGAATAGGAAGGACTGGACTTTTTAAGAGGTGGGCTGCTTATTTTTGAGAGGAGTCCATGAAGAGAAACAGCAGTGCTACTGGATTGCAGTTTTATGGAGTAGGGGCCTGTAGATTAGGGTAGTATATGGGGTCATAGAGAGTGTAACTGAGAAGGGGGTTGATGGAGAAAAATAAATGCTGGGAGTAGCATGTGGTGGAGGCCTGATCAAGGAAACTAAGTGGAGATGATGAACCTTTAGAGGAATATGTGGGTGAATGGAGAAGACAAGCTAATAAAGAAATAGAGGGCAGATGTAGAAGGGAGGCCAGGGCTGGCGCTACCATATGGCGAATAAGGCATTCGCCTGGGCGCAGGCCTCTGGGGGGTGTCCACCGGGATATTTCCTGGTTGGCTGCTCTGCAGCTGTCTGGGGCTGGTGTGCTGGGCCAGCGGCTCCTTATGTCAGTGAGAGGGCGTGTGTAAGTGAAAGTGTGTAAGTGACACTGGGTATGTCAGTGATAGTGTGTGTGTTAGTGCAAGTGTGTAAGTGACATTGTATGTCAGTGAGTGTGTGTGTGTTAGTGAAAGTGTGTAGATGACACTGTGTATGTCAGTGAGAGTGTTTGTGTTAGTGAAAGTGTGTAACTGACACTATGTCAGTGAATGTGTGTTAGTGAAAATGTGTAAGAGACACTTTGTATGTGTGCAAGTGACAGTGTGTGTATGTCTCTCTGTGTGTGTGTGACCATGTAAATATATACTTTTTTTTATATATTAAATAATATTTACAATATATATTAATATAATTCTATATTAAACTGAAAAAATGTTTTACTTAAAGTTCACTGTAACATAAATGAAATCGTAACATTGTTATAAATTAAATACTACCAAATGCACTGAAAAAGGGTGCATGGATATATTTATTAGGCAGAATGTGTCTATTAATGTATGCATTAGGCAGTATGTGTGTATTGATGTATGCACTAGGCAGTATGAGTGTATGAATGTATGGCAGTGTGTGTGGATTTATGTATTGAGCTGTGTGCGTATAGTTGATTGTATATAATAGGCAGTCTGTGTGGATGGATGGATGGATGTATTAGGCAGTGTGTGTATATGGATGCATATACTGGATGAGTGTTTCTATGCAGTGTGTTTTCATCCCTAAATGTCTCTTCATTGCAGAATTTAGGGAATAAACCTGTGAGAGAATGTAGTTGCCTTCATGAGGGGCTGGCAAAATGGATTGTTGCCTTGGTCGGCAAGAATCCTTGCACCGGCCTGGCAGAGGATCATGGTGGAATTACGAGAATGAGGAACGGAACTGATGGCTGGCAGTCATTTGTGGATGAGGCACTATTGAAAGAAATAGACTCTATGGAAGTTATGAACTTATGGGAACTATGAGAGCTGGTGGACAATAGAGGCATATTAGGAAAATGTAAAGACCAATTGGGAAAGGAGAGCTTACAAAGTAATACGAGGGCTGATGGACAAGAAGGTTTAGTCAATCAATACATTAATATTGTTTAGTTTTACCATTTGAGTTATAGAAAGGCATATGGTAATATGAAGTTAAATATGCTATACATATATTGAGACATCGTGAAAAGTTCCTTTTTAACATAGAGACTCCACTGACACATGATAGGAACTACAGGATTAACTGCCACATTGTAAGTGCAAACCTCTCGTCTAGTACGTATCGATATTTGATTGTATGTGTTCTATGTAAGGGTTCCCAGTATATTGGTTTGCATATGATAAATACCATTTACTGTGGAATGTGCGAAGACTTTATAATAAATAAATAAATAATAATAAAAATAGTAGTAGTTATAGTTACCTTTGCCATATTTGATAGGAACAAGTCTGCAGTTACAGTGATGTGCTCCTGTCCAGTTATATTACATTTGATATTGTGGTATAAGATGTCTCCACATTCCTACCCAATGAAAGGGAAGAAAATGTCTGTTTCAGTGTATAGCAGTAGTTCTTAATCTTTTTTTGACAGACCCAAAGTACAAACATGGAATTATCTCACAATTTTACTTAGATAAAGGCATACCATGCCAGCAGCATTGAGTCCTTGTCTTTTGTATTTTCCTATAAATTAATGTTTCACACATTTTGATGAAAAACTCACTTGATCACGTCCACACAACTTTGTAACGTCCTCACACTGTGTTGCGTTCTGAAAATAAATTATTAGGTTGTTTAAACAGACATGTATAAATCACCCCTATATTACAGCTCTCGATTTTAATTATACCATTTGAGTTTTTAAATGGTCAGATAATTCCACTCATTATTTTTGTGCAGCTGCTATATTTTGCAGCAGATCAAATACAAATAGCTAGAAATAGATACAGTAGGGATGTGCATGGGTAAAATATTCGGTTCGGTTCGGCTCGGCATTCCGAAATTCGGCACTTTGAATGTTCTCTTGCAGCCGCTTAGTAGATAACTCCCTAATTCCCACGGTATTAGGGAGCTATCTACCAAAAGGCTGAAAGACCTAAATTGGTCCTGAGTGGTGGGTGGGGGCCCTAAATTAGTATAAGGGGGGGACCTATTGTCCTCCCCCCGGTCACCACCCCTGAGCGGCAGGTGGGGGCCCTAAATATCAATAAGGGGGGACTTAGTGTCCTTCACCCTGGCCCCCACCATTGAGCGGCAGATGGGGGCCCTAAATATCAATAAGGGGGGACCTAGTGTCCTTCACCCTGGCCCCCACCATTGAGCGGCAGATGGGGGCCCTAAATACTAATATAAGCCTTCCCCTGCCCTGCGGAGCTCAGTCTGTGCGGTGCCCTCCGTGAAGATGGATTACTTTTTCAGCGTCTGGGGGTTTTTTTTCGTATGATTTTTGTGCACTCTGGTCTTTTTTTTTTTTTTTTCAAAGTGCGATGGGTATTATGTTTTTTTATTTGGCCTTTTTTGGGGGCTGAAAAAAGAAGACATCAAATGGTAAGTTTTATTTCTTCTTTTTCAGATACTTAGTTATTGTTCCCCCCTCACTATTAGGGGGGATTTATTACATTTTTTTGGGAGGGGTTGACTAGGGGTTCGGGGACCCCTAGTCACCTGGGGGGGGACCCCTAGTCACCTTATTTAGGGCCCCCACCCGCCGCTCAGGGGTGGGGGCTGGGGGGGGAGGACAATAGGTATCCCCCCTTAATTATACTTTCGGGCCCCCACCCACCACTCAAGTGATGTCACACCAATGGGGGTACCTAATGTGCATGCGGGGCGCGCGATGTGTGCATATTAGACCTTCCCCATAGGAAAGCATTGAATCAATGCTTCAATGCAAAGCGTGGTAGCCACTAGAGGCACTCTTAACCCTGCAATGAAAACATTGCAGTTTCTCTAAACTACAATGTTTTATATTGCTTGGTTAAGGGGACAGGGCCATTGCACCTAGACCACTTCAATGACATTATATGGTATGGGTGTCTATAGTGTCCCTTTAATAGATAGCAAAGTATTTCAATTAGAGTTGCAGTAATGGGTATAATAAACATGGAAGCAATTTAGAAGTTGTAGACTGAGAACATTCTGTCGCTTTTAATCAAATATAGAGTCCCTAGAGTACAATAGGACAGAGGAGAGGTTTTCATAATATAACACCATATTATTCCATATGGCAAATTACTCATGGTGTTTCTGTATTAACAACAAAATTAATATAAAAAAAAAAACTTGATAGCATGACTGGTATTCTCTATTTGGTAGATATAGCAGTCTGATATCAAATATATTTCATACATACGTACAAAAAACACTGTTTAATTTTAGCAGTAATGCATGGTAGAGAATTGGCAAAATTAGAACATTATTACTAATTTTAGTCATGAAAATCAAAGCATACATTATGGGTTTTGCGCCAGTACTGTTACTGTAGAAATAATCTCCTAATACATGTATTTATTATACAGGAAAATGTGTTTCTAGTCATTGAAGTTTTGTCTTGTTTTGTTGATAATTTTTTAATTTTGGCTAGTCTGAAATTTGGAAAATATTGATTCGAAAGAACCAAATTTTGTATGAAAATGTCATAATTTTTTTTTAATCCTGATACCCGTGATACCCGTGAAATTGATTGAAGGTGGCAGGCACAACTTTACGAAGAGTTACAATGTACCTTTTTAGGGAGTTATCTGTTAAACTACTGAAAGATCAAAATTAAATTATTTTTTTCTCCTAATTTTGATCTTTCAGCTGCTTTGTAGATAACTCCATAATTTGCTATCCACATGTTAGATTGCCATAAAAATACAAATTATGAAATAAGGGAGCTATCTGCAAAACAGTGTCCTTAAATATGGCAGTCCCACATAAGGGTACCAATTTAAGGCGTTATCTGCTATACTGACGAAAAAACAAAATTAAGAAAAGCTCTTTTCTTAATTTTGGTCTTTCAATTGTTTTAGTATATATTCCTAATTTACTATCCTTATTGAAACAAATGGATTTGAAACAATTAATTTCAATTAGTTAAGGATCCATTCGTTTCCGTTTAGTTTTCCAACAATTCAGAAATTCAGATGATTATGTCACATGTTCAATTTTAAGATGTTTTGCCACAAAACAATGAGGGAAGAAAGGGAAGAATAGATAGAAAACTGGAAAAAAAAGACCACTTACCTGAGTCTTTTGGATATTTTTTACAGAAGAAATAGTGACACTTTGCATTGTAACAGGAACTTGGATAGATAGAACTATTGTCGCGTCATACTGATTTTCTGTGCTAACCTTTGGAGAGAACAATTCAAATGGTAAATGAAAAGGTTCGGATCAATGGCATTAATGTAAAGTTTACCTGAGGAACTTACATCAAAGGTATACTGAATCTCTTGATTTCGTGCTGGTTCTTGGTTTATGGTCACAACGAGTACTTGCAGTCTATTGGGAACAGTGATATGGCATTAATTAGCCATGTTTATAGCAGTTATATAGGAGAAAATATAAACATTACCATATTTTTCCATATATAAGATTATGTTTTTTTCAAAAAATGTTTAGTCTAAAATTGCGGGTCTGCTTATACATGGAATGTCACTGCAGGGGATAAGATGGCGTCTGTCGCATTTCAGTGTGCCACGGCCACACATATACCTGGCCTTCCTTCCGCCGATCTACTTCTGATTGCTGTGGCAAGTAGGAAGAGGTCCCTATATGTGTGGGAGCTGCAGCAGACATTAGCACCTGCCACCAACGGAGCTCAGGAGACATGCCACACCATAAAAGGAGCAGCCATATTAAGGTTTGCTCCACCTCAGGTAGGTCTTGCTTTCTGATTTATATTTATGGGGGAGGAAATGGGGTCAGAGAGCAGAGGGAATACTACTGTGATGTACCAGCATGCCCTCACACCACCTGCTGTATTGTGGGAGCTGTAGTCTCCCAGCATGCACTATAGAGCCATTAACTTCACAGAGTACTGTAGCACAGGGGAGTCATGAGAATCAGAAGTGTGTTGTTCTCCTCAGAAGTCATCTCTAAAATATCAAAGTTGTTCTACTTGATTTTTAAAATGCTGATTTCTTAATTCTGGGCTCAAAAAAATAGGCGTTGTCTTATACATGGGGGCGTCTTATACACAGAAAAATAGTGTAGTTCCCAAAATAGAGACAAAAAAAGAACAAACAAATAGATACATAGAATCCTAGCACATAGTGTTTAGAAGTCACTGTATCACCTGGAGATTAAAGTAGTTATGAAATAGTAACTGTACCAACATAAAAATACCTACAATTAGGTGAATATGTAGTATAAATGGGATCTGGTGAAAAAAATTATGAAGGAAAAAAACAGTAAATAAAATCCCAATGCTCCTATGTGACAAATATATAACAACTCAGAATCATTAGGTTCAGGTGGAATCCAAGTATATATACAGATGAGCTTTATTAGATATGGCTCTTAGTGTAAGAGAACATCCCCCTGTTCATATATCTAGTGTTATATAGTGACATATCTCTTGGTCAGATATATCCTATGAATCTGTGTATTGTAAATCTTAATGAACTAGTGGCTCAATACACAGACTAGTTCCCTTTCCCCCTAAACGTACTTGGTATATCAGTAAATCACTGGTATTCCTTAGGGGTGTCAATCAAGTATCTAATAGGATATAGCAGATTTAAGTGATAGCGAACAGCTAGGTCAAGTTGTCAGAAATGTATATACTTGTATCCTACTTGATACCCAGAGGATTAAATGCTATCAGAGTTTATAGGTAGAGAGTAAAAAGTAAAAAATCTATCACCAGCAAAAATAGTGGGTATTAATGAAATTAAATAGCCTCTCCCCTTGGTACACTAACTAGATAGACATTGGAGCAGAAAATAGATATAAAAAATTATAACAACATGTAATTCAAAGCGTGCTAAATCATAATCAAAGTGCCGTGCCCAGTGCCCATAACCCAGGAAGAAAAATAGTACACTTTTAACAAGTTAAATTTTCCAGTGTTGGGCAAGCAATGCGGTAATCAGTACCATTTAAATCCTATACATAAAAACTGTTCTTGGGGGCAGAGCCTAACTGCCAAGCAGACCAGAAGTGTTTTGCTAGAGCTCCTGCGGCTGGCACCGACAAACATGGATTAATCCCAGACCAATTAGTTCTTGGACCACTGTATGCGATCCACAAGTTAAGAGTACTATCCCTCTTGTAATCTTCCCAGCACTGAATTATCCGACTCGAGGTCTGACTCATGTTGAAGCAGAGGAGAGAGGAGAGGCGGCCACTCTCCAAGCTGTTTGGACGACTGTGGGGACTCTATATCCTGCTGTCTCCCACCCCCTCCCCTTTGGACCAGTGGGGTATCCAGGTCCCCACTGCCTGTCTTGCTTCCGTTACCTCTGCAGACATGAAACAGCGATACTGCACAAGTTCTCCCCATAGCCAATTACCCCAAGATGGTGTACGCACTACCTCCTTGTGGACACTGACGATATTCCCCAATGGGGCCCCACAAGGTGCAACTGAACACATACTAGAGCAGCTTGATCAGTTATTCGCTAGCTTCTGGGCAAAACTAAAATAGAAGGCTATTCCATGCATCCACTACCCTCTCAGTAAAGTAATACTTCCTGATATTATTTTTAAACCTTTGTCTCCAGTACTGTGTACAATACTCCAAGTGAGGTCTCACCAGTGTTCTGTACAATGGCATAAGCACTTCCCTCTTTCTACTGCTAATACCTCTCCCTATACAACCAAGCATTCTGCTAGCATTTCCTGCTGCTCTATTACATTGTCTGCCTACCTTTAAGTCATCAGAAATAATCACCCCTAAATCCCTTTCCTCATATGTTGAGGTTAGGACTCTATCAAATATTCTGTACTCTGCCCTTGGGTTTTTAAGTCCAAGATGCATTATCTTGCACTTATCCACATTAAATGTCAGTTGCCACAATTCTGACCATTTTTCTAGTTTACCTAAATCATTTGCCATTTGGCTGATCCCTCTTGGAACATCAACCCTGTTACATATCTTAGTATCATCAGCAAAAAGACATACCTTACCATCAAGACCTTCTGCAATATCACTAATAAAAATATTAAAGGACCACTATAGGCACCCAGACCACTTCAGCTTAATGAAGTGGTCTGGGTGCCAGGTCCAGCTAGAGTTAACCATTTTTTTTATAAACATAGTAGTTTCAGAGAAACTGCTATGTTTTTAATAGGGTTAATCCAGCCTCCAGTGGCTGTCTCTTGACAGCCGCTAGAGGCGCTTGTGTGCTTCTCACTGTGATTTTCACAGTGAGAAGACGCCAGCGTCCATAGGAAAGCATTGAGAATGCTTACCTATGGACTGGCTGAATGCGCGCGCAGCTCTTGCAGGTGGGGGCACCCTCAGGGCACTATAGTGCCAGGAAAACGAGTGTTTTCCTGGCACTATAGAAACATAGACTGTGACGGCAGATAAGAACCATTCGGCCCATCTAGTCTGCCCAAAATATAGTTATCCTTTAACTATAGTGGTCCTTTAAAGAGAATGGGTCCAAGTACAGATCCCTGATATACCCCACTGGTGACAAGTCCAAGCATTGAATATATTCCATTGACTACAACCCTCTGTTGCAGGTCACTCAGCCACTGCCTTACCCATTCAACAATATTGGAATACAAACTTAAAGATTGATGTTTATTAATAAGCCTTCTATGTGCAACAGTGTCAAAAGCCTTACTGAAATCTAGGTTGATCCAAAAGAAGGCAAAAAAAAAAAAAAAAAAACCAGTTAGAAACACTTCCAATCTTGCAACAAACAGTCAGATTTATCATTGGATCAAGCAGTTGTTACCATACATCGAAAAATGATATCCTTGAATATTCTGTTTTTGCAAGTATGCATCTAGTAGCTGTTTGAACATCAGTATGGACTCTGATAAAACCACTTCTTCAGGCAGAGAATTCCACATCCTGATTGTTCTTACAGTAAAAAATCCTTTTAATTTCCTTATATGACAGTGTAGATTTCCTAACTGCTTGCAGGGGTACATGTGGGATCTAACAATGCAGTTAAGTGCACATTTGAAACTCTCCAATATTTCAAGGACACTTCAAGTACCAATGCAACTTTAATGCATTTGGTAGATTTTAGCTTCATTTATACGGTGTATTTTAAAGAATACAAGAGAGGCCATGTAATTTGTTAATTTTTTCTTAACTTGTTATCTCGAAAAAACTAGTTGTTTTTTCGAGTTGACAAGTTAATTTCTTGAGATAATAAGTCAGGAAATATTAAATATACATATGGCTCTGAGCTGCTGAGGTATTTTTTGCATGCTCAAATCTTTATAATCTTTGCATAAAAAAAAAAAAAAATTGTTTTGCAGAATACAGCACCATAAACTAGTTTCCATAGCCATACCTCACACTCCAGAAAAAACATTGATAGTATTGAATGATCTAAACTACAAATCAACCTGCATTAGAAGGAGAGGATACCCAGGGAAACATATAGCGGGCTATTCACTAAAGAAAGTGACAATTAAAAGGAATTTCAAAATGAATTTTAAATGTAAGGCCAGAGTGGGCGAAGTGAAATCATAGCCGACTTAGATAATTTTTCCAGTTCGACTATTTTGACTTAAAATTTCATGTTATGCAGTGTGTGTAGTAAATGCAGTGTCTTTGTAGGAAATGCAGTGTGTGTAGGAAATGCAGTATGTATAATGAATGCCTCATGTGCATGTGTATAGTGAATGCAGTGTGTGTTTGTGCAGTGGATCCAGTGGATGCTGGTGTAGTGGATGCAGAGTGTGTAGTGGATGCAGTGTCTGCATTTGTGTAGTGGATGTGTAGTAGATGCAGTGTAGTGGGTGCAGTGTCTGTGTTTGTGTAATGGATGCTGTGTAGTGGGTGCAGACTGCAGTGTTGGTGTAGTGTGTGCAGTGTCTATGTTTGTGTAGTGAATGCAATGTAGTGTGTGCGGGGTCTGTGTTTGTGTTGTGGATGCAGTGTAGTAGATGCAGTGTAATGGATGCAATGGATGTAGTGTACAGTGGTTGCAGAGTGTGTGTATTGGATGCAATGGATTCAGTGTATTGCTGCTATCTATCTATGTGCATCTCTCTTGAGTCTTAAATGTTACAATAGATAGTACAAACATGTGCAACAAATACAATCAACTGAACACTAGTAAGAATCCAATATTTATATATAATAATAGTAAAAATTATTATCATTATTATTTAAAAACATATTTTATCACTTACGCAGAGAGGACAGCACTGAAGGAATGTTTCACTGGAAGCAAAATTTGATGGTGCGGGAGATTTGTGATATTATTAATGCTGAGAAGAAATCACAGATGATACAAAATTGAAAATGATATACAGCATAGCACTTTCTGCATTTTACCTTTATTAACAGAAAATGTTAATAATCATATCCCCAGGTTTTGGGTTTACCTCATAAACCACATGCTTAGAGGATGTCATATTATACAATATCAAAGCACCAGACATTTGAGCATGCACCACTGTGTCAGGTTCAGAGTTTTCCGTCAGAATAGCATGAGATTGTAAAACACCTGTAGTGAACCATCAGGTTTTTGGGCATGAACCAATGAACCATCTACCCTGTGTGCATCTGCTTATCATTAAATATTAGGCAGTCAGATTGCTCCAATTACTCCACTTGTAGTGCTTAGTCTTTGTTTAGTCCTTTAGAGCAGGGGTGCCCAAAAAGGTAGATCCTCAGATGTTGTATAACTACAACTCCCATGATGCTTTGTGGGCCTTTAAAATGCATTTAGGGGGGGCGTGGCTAACCGCCGAGCAAGATGGACGCTCGGTAATCTGCTCCGGCACATGGGCTCCAACAAAACCGCAAATTTAACGAGCTGAACGCGGAAAAACCGAGACAGGCATTATGACAACCTCCAAAACGAAGAAGGCTTCTACTAAAGCCGAAAAAACTAACTTCTTCGGCCAGAAACAGGCATCCACGGCGGACGCCGCGCGGGAATATACCCAAGATGGCGCGGAAGGCCCAGATCCCCTATACACACCAACGCAGCCTGCAGAACCCCTTCCACCTGAACACCTCACAAGAGGACACTTTGAAACTGCCATGGAAGCAATGGCAACCAAACTAATCAGCACCTGGCAAAAAACGGCAGAACAAATCAAAAAAGAGGTGAGAGACCTGTCAACCCGCACTGCCACAGTAGAACAACACTGCCAGGCACTCACAACGGTGCAAGCAGACATGGCAGGGCAGCTGCAAGCCCTACACCTCAAAATAGAAAACATCGAAACCCGTATAGCTGATCAAGAAGACAGGTCACGCAGGAATAACCTGAGACTGCGCGGCATCCCTGAAGCTGTATCCCCAGACGACCTGCAGCCTTATGTGAGAGGCCTCCTGAAAGCCTATGCCACAGACATCCCGACGGACATGCTCCTATTAGACAGGGTTCACCGAGTGGCAAAGCCGAGATTCCTGCCCGACTCCACGCCACGCGATGTCCTAATCAGGGCGCATTACTTTCACATTAAGGAACTGGTCCTTAAAGCATACCGAAGCAGAGTGGACCCGCACGAGGATTACGCATCTGTGCGCATCATGGCGGACCTTTTGGCGGCAACGCTGCGCAGAAGAAGGGACTTCCACCAAGTAACCACGGAACTCCGCAACCACGGGGTCCGCTACAGGTGGGGATTCCCCACGAAAATTATCCTGACCAGAAACGGGAAGACTACATACATTGCAACTCCAGAAGAAGGGAAAGCGGCACTGGAAACATGGGGCCTCTCCGACCACCCGCCAGCGGAAAAACGTCCAACCACCTACCGCCCGAACAATAATGCTACCATAGACTAACACTAACCACCGATTGACCGAGGCATGATTCGTGCAAGTACCAAAATTGTATTATACATGTTGTTATGCACAGCCACAGATTAGCCATCCCCTCACACATACACACGTGAGCAAAGCAACACCAACTTAGGGACCACCCTATACACATAATGATCATCACACCTTAAGTCTTATGGGGACTCGGGGCACTGCCCATACGGGTAAAGGGGGTGTTTTAAAAATAATACCCGGGAACAGCAGGCGGGGGTCCAGCGAATGGCCTAAGACACACAAAGTACTAGAAACCGTGGCACGTTCCAGGGTAAGCCCAAACTCACCAAAAATACATAGAGCACCCACCACCAACACCTGAGGCAGTACAGCCCACCACAAGCACCCCAAGGCACACGCAAACGAGATAGGGGCAGAGGCAGCGCACAGCGCCACCACACTGGCTGACTGAAATGGCTAAATGTATAACCAGAGAATGTGGATAATATTACTTGCATGCCTCACATCACTGTGTTAAACGTTATACTATACTGTGTTAAATGTTATACTATACTGTTTTAATGACTTGTACCTCCCAGTTTCAACCAATTACGACAAGTTCAGCTCCATTCAAACCCACAGATACAATAGGGAGCCCAACTAGCCACGCTTGGAAACTCCCTTCCAAAACCCCACGGTACGAATAGCGTACCAGACCTTCGGGTTCTTGTACATAACACCACAACAACAGCTAACCCCTCTCCCTAACCCTCATCAACCACCCCGTTAAACCCACCAAACTATACGCCCTCAGTACCATCTGACAAGAACACTGCACCATCCCCCCCCGCCCACGCAGCCACCACAATGATCATCTACTCTCACAACACAAAAGGCCTCAATACGCCACACAAAAGGCGCATTCTGCTGGAAGATCTCAAAAAAACCAAAGCAGACATAGTTTGCATACAAGAGACACATTTTGTCACCAACCGCATTCCCACATTCGCAACCAGAGAATACACCACACAGTACCATGCAACACACACATTCAAATCACGAGGGGTCTCGATTTTGATACACAACTCCCTCACCATGGAACTACTCAGTAGCCACAAGGACGACCAAGGAAGATACGTGATTCTCCACTGCATAGTCAACAACACCCCGCTTATCTTAGCATGTCTATACAGCCCAAATGACCAGCAACGCAACTTCCTACATAAAGTCCTCAACAAACTACCGGGGGACGCGAACATTCCCACGATCATATGCGGCGACTTCAACAACACTATGGACTCCCGCATAGACTCGACGGCTCCCAGAACATCAACCAGACACCATAAGCTCAAGCCCAATAACAAAGCATTCACAAAACTCCTACACGATTATGGGCTATACGATGCCTGGAGAACGAGACACCCATCAACGAGAGAATATACATTCTTCTCACAAGTACACAAAACCTACTCCAGAATTGATCACATCCTTGTATCCGGCCAATTTCTCCCACAAATAGAGGACTGCACTATAGGGAACATAGTATGGTCCGACCATGCCCCACTGACTCTGACTCTACATGCCACATACCAACACAGAGGTAAGCCCCCGTGGCGCCTCAACGAATCACTCCTACAGGACACGCAATTCACTGCACAGCTGACTGCAACCCTATTGGACTATTTCCACCTTAACAACAACTCTGAAGCCTCAGCCTTCTCCATTTGGCAGGCCCACAAAACAGTCATGAGAGGACAACTGATTAGCCGAGCAACATATCTCAAACGCCAACGTAACAAAGAACATACAGACCTTCTTAGAAACCTAAGAGACACCACGACCCAACATCTCCTGAACCCATCTGACACCGGTGCGGAAGCCATCAAACAAATCACCTCACAAAATCAATGCACTGACACTGGAGAAAACGGCCCATATCCTCACCAAATTAAAACTGAAAACGTACACCCAAGGGAACAAAACAGGGAGGCACCTGGCGAACCTACTCAAGCAAAAACAAGCAAACTCCAAAATCCCGCACTTAATCTCAAGCACAGGAGAAAAACTGTTCAATCCACAGGACATCAATGACAGCATGGCTGACTACTATCACTCCCTTTACAATCTAAAAACAGACCCGACTCTACATCAACCCTCAGCACAAGACATAGCTGACTTCCTTCAAACTACAACGCTACCCAAACTAACGCCAACACAAAGAGACACCATACAAAGCCCTGTCACTACACAAGAAATATTAGACACTATTCAATCCCTCCCGAACGGGAAATCACCAGGCCCAGACGGTCTAACAAATTCATATTACAAACAATTCGCAACCACTCTAGCCCCTCAATTAAAAAACACATTTCACCATGCCCTCCAGAAAGGGACGCTGCCATCAGAGATGCTCATGGCACATGTTGCCACGCTCCCCAAACCAGGAAAGCCCCCGACCCGATGCCAAAACCTAAGACCCATTTCCCTGTTGAATACAGACGTGAAAATTATCGCAAAATTTTTTTCCAACAGATTAGCACCCATTATCCCCACAATTATAGGGGAGGACCAGGTGGGATTTGTGGGAGGCAGACAAGGAGCGGACGGTACACGCAAAACTTTAGACTTACTATATGAGATACAGGGGAAAAAAGACCCCAGCATCCTACTATCCCTAGACGCAGAGAAAGCTTTTGATAGGCTACACTGGCCCTTTCTATTGGCAGTCCTAAAGAAATTCGACTTTCCACCACAATTCCTCTCATTAGTTAATGCACTATACTCCGCCCCAACGGCAAGAGTAGTAAACGGGGGATTCATATCAAAACCATTTCACATTTCAAATGGATCTAGACAGGGCTGCCCACTCTCCCCGATACTCTACATCCTGGCGCTGGAACCGCTCACCCAACTAATACGAAGCAACCCAGACATACACGGGATTAAAATCAGGGGCAAAGAATACAAAATGTCATTATTTGCTGATGACATCTTGCTGACACTTGAACAACCACACCTTTCCCTACCTAACTTCCACAAACTCCTTTCCCTGTACAGTAAGTGTTCTTACTATAAACTGAACATTGCAAAAACACTAGCCTTAGGAATCAATATATCCAACACAGACCTGACAACTCTAAAAAGAAACTTCAACTACGACTGGAGAAAGGACCACATTAAATTCTTAGGGGTCAACCTGACACCAACAACACACAAGCTCTTCAAGGCAAACTACACCAAACTAATGATCGAAATCAAAAATATCCTCCAACACTGGAAAGGGAAATACATCTCATGGACCGGCCGGATAGCCTCGGTGAAGATGGTAATACTGCCAAAAATTCAATACCTCTTCCGCACACTACCACTCGTCCTCCCCAAAAAATACCTACTAGAACTGCAAAATACCCTAAATAACTACGTTTGGGATTATAAAAAACCGAGAGTGGCAAAAGCCACAATGTACAAACCGTTCGCCCAAGGCGGGATGGGCCTACCTGAAATAAGAGGCTACTACAGAGCGGCTCAAATAGCACCGCTGCTGGCGGCGTCAAACAACTGCAACCCAACGGCATGGACTGAAATAGAGAAGAACCATGAAAAAGGACTTGCACTACCAACACTGGCATGGCTACCCAAAACCCACAGACCAAAAACCACGGAATTACTACCCACAACTGCGCTAACCCTCTCAATATGGGACAACTATAAACAATCGACAGGAGCGACAACAATCCAAATCCCAGCTATCCCTATAGAAGCACTACGACTATTCATCCCTGACTTCAACCACAAACTCTGGCAACGACATGGAGTGGAAACCGTGTCCCAACTACTACAACATAACAAACTTAAGAGATTTTCAGACCTAGGAACAGAATACACCCTGCCCTCCACAGCAGCCTTCTCCTATCTTCAAATACAATCTTGGATGAACTCCCAACCGGCACAACCAGGAGCACAGAAGCTACACCCACACTGGGATAAAATAATACAGATCTGCACCAAAACAAAACCGGCAAAGAAACTCATATCCTTGATTTACACCTCCGAGCAGACACAATGCCGAAAACACCCACCCCCCTTCCAATCAGCTTGGGAAAAGGACATCGGACACCCACTTACGGAAGAACAATGGCAAAACATCTACCAAGCCCACAAACACCTGACACTCAGTACAAACCACCTAGAACTTTCACGCAAGCTACTCTATAGATGGTATTTAGTCCCAACAAGACTCAAACACAGCTTCCCTGATGCTCCCGACACATGCTGGAGATGCCAAACACACAAAGGAACCTTGATACACATATGGTGGCACTGTCCACTGCTCCGACAATACTGGACACAGGTTGCAAATCTAACAACCCAATGCACGGGGTTAAAACTAACCCCAACTCCTGAAACATTCCTCCTACTTATGCTCCCACAGGAGCCACGCATGCACATCAAATACATGACATACCACATCATAATTGCGGCCCTCACAGTCATAAGTAGACTATGGAAACAAACGACAACCCCAACGCTCAAACAATGCATAGACGTGATAGAACACACCAAGCTATATGAAACTCTAGCAAGAAAAACGCAGCAGAAAAACTCCCACTGGTTGACAGCGTGGGAAACCTGGGACAAAAACAAACCACACTAACATGAGGCACAAAACCATAAAAAACCCTCACGGAGAGGGAACAAATACACTCAATTACGAAAACCTCAATAGAACAGTACACAGCCTATACGACTCAGACACACCCTTCCAGTCCCGACCCCCCCACAACACCCGTCACCCCTCCTCCCCAACCGACCTAAACCCCACAAACCCACTAACGACGCAGGCAACATGCGGAGCCTGAGCCCCAAACCTGACAAGGCATAATAGCTCACTACCCCAGGCCGACATGAACAAGACCATCACAAAAAAGGTAGCCAATAGTGTTTGAGAGACATATGTTATCCTCACTGTTGAACCCATTCAGTTGTGACGCAAGTAACGCCCTCAACCTAAACCTCCACAAAGAAATAAACTTATCCATGATAATGCACCTGCAACAAGCAAATGTGAACTTGTTTACTATGAACCCCTTCCCTCTTCCTTTCTGTACCCCATTTACATTTGAAAATAAAAATTGTCAAATTCAAAAAAAAAAAAAATGCATTTAGAAGGACAAAGCATCATGGAGACTGTAGTTTTAAAACATCTGGGTATCTACCTTTGGACGCCCGTATAGATTTACATATACAGCACAGTGTAAGGGTGTAATGGGTGAATAATTTTATTGCAGGGTTAATGACAAGACTTAACAAAGACCCGGATAGGAGCCAAAACGTTGACTTTGCTCTTTACTTCTAATAAAAGACTGCCTTTAGAAACCATCTAGTGTGCCCATACTTTTGTATTTGTTACCATTGGACTTTTGGGAACCTGGCCCTCCCTGTTTGGAGCATCCCGGTGGGAGTATTCCTTAGAGATATTGGTGAGTGCATTACCCTCTCAATTTGGGAAGTCTGACTCTATTGTTGTCAAGTTTACCTGCCAACACAAAATAAATTAGACACACCCCACTGACCAACCACTAAATAAAAAAGCAAGTGAGTGTCACTAGACAAAAGAATACATCCCTGGATCACATTTGGAATGTTTTATACAGTCCTGTTAGGATGAGATTGGGGGCACCAGAGCAAGTGAGTATGGCTAGACACCTTAAAACATCCTTGGATCACATTTGGAGCGTTTTATACAGTCCTTTTAGGAAGATATTTGCAACATTGTCAGTATTAAAGGACCACTCTAGGCACCCAGACCGCTTCAGCTTAATGAAGTGGTCTGGGTGCCAGGTCCAGCTAGTGTTAACCCATTTTTTCATAAACATAGCAGTTTCAGAGAAACTGCTATGTTTATGAATGGGTTAAGCCTTCCCCCTAATCCTCTAGTGGCTGTCTCATTGACAGCCACTAGAGGCGCTTGCGTGCTTCTCACTGTGATTTTCACAGTGAGAGCACGCAAGCGTCCATAGGAAAGCATTATGAATGCTTTCCTATGTGACCGGCTGAATGTGCGCGCAGCTCTTGCCGCGCGTGCGCATTCAGCCGACGGGGAGGAGAAGAGGAGGATTGGAGGAGGAGAGCTCCCCGCCCAGCGCTGGAAAAAGGTAAGTTATAACCCCTTTCCCCTTTCCAGAGCCGGGCGGGAGGGGGTCCCTGAGGGTGGGGGCACACTCAGGGCACTATAGTGCCAGGAAAACAAGTATGTTTTCCTGGCACTATAGTGGTCCTTTAACACAAGCAAATTTTCTGCAAAACAGAACCAGAGAGATGGACCTTTTATACTTTAACAGGGCCACATGGTTTTCATGTTTGAGAAAGTGTTGCTGGCGCTCTGCTGCAAACTGGAGTTAAATAATTTTATACAATGACAACAAAAAACTGCCAAAGCAGAACTGGAAGAATTAATGGGTAAAGCTCTTTTAATGTGGAAGTTGAAAAACATGGAAAACGAAGATATGTTGTTTTTTTTTTTGCCAGCTAATTTAACTCTTTTTCCAGTTTTGTCTTGATAAGTGTGGTCCTTTGATGCTAAGAATGTTGCACTCATTTTTTTTATAATAGAATAAATACCACTTACTTGCTAACATTAATATTAATTATTACGTTTTCTTCAGTGAACTTTAATTCATTTAGTTGCCAAACAACAGAAAATGCTGCCTGTACAGAAAAAAAAAGGAAAATGGTTTCATCGTTACTGTTTGAGGAAGTTAAAGGATTACATTTTTCTATACAACATTCTAAAGTTTACCACATCATAATAACTCAAAAATGTGAAAATATTCAATTACAGCCATATCAGTGTTTAGGAGCTCAGAAAGAGCAAAACAACTGCCCATAGCTGGGCCCTGCTTATTTTTTCATTTAATCAGTTAATTACCATAAAAATGTAAACATGTTAAACTACAGTTAAAGGAACCCACATCACATCATCTCAATGAAGTGGTCTGAGGGTAGGGCCCCTGTTGTTTTAACCCTGCAATATAAAACATTGCCGTTTTGTAGGAACAGCAATGTTTTAATTGCAGCGTGAAACACAGAAAGACCAGCCACTTGATGTGCTTACCCTGTGTACTTAGTTTTCAATCGAAGACTGCTTTTAGAGAGCATTTGAATGGCACAGCAATTGCCGCATATGCACACTAGTCTCCTAATTGATCCCTGTGGATAGGCATTAGATGATCTTAGCCAGAGAGGTGTAGCAGCAGCCTGGAGACTGGCACGGCGGGGGCTAAAAGGATTTTTAAATTACAAGCGGGAGGTGGGGAGCCGGCGGTCACCTAAATTGCTAGTAGGACACTATAGCATCAGGAATACATGTATGCATTACTAACACTATAGTGTTTCTTTAAAGCAACAGGTCAATTTAAAGGGAACCTACAGAAGAGTGGGATGGGAATCTAAAAAAGTGACAATGCTTTCTTTGTCTGTTTGCCGAATTTGCACTGCATTCCAGGAGAATTGGGGACAAGCAATGTTTCAGGAAAGAGTGACAAACCTAGAGAGTTCAAATACTTATTTTATTTTAGGACCTGACCCTATTTGACTTTTAAAAATTAGTTACTTATTTTAAAATATTTTTCACTTAAACACTTTTTATATTTGTTATTTTAAAGCTGTTGGTATTTAAAGGGACACTGTAGGCACCCAGACCACTTCAGCTCATTGAAGTTATCTGGGTGCAATATCCCATGTCCCTTAACATGCAAAAGTAATTATTGCAGTTTCTGAGAAACTGCAATAATTACCTTGCAGGGTTAAGTTTGGTAGACTGCCACTAGAGGGATATCTGGAATAGAAACGGACCTTTGATCTGATCCATTATCTGACGCTGGTCGTCCTTACCCCATTGGTGCCCATTTTCCCCATTAGGTCTCCCCTGCTGGTTGACGTGAGTGGGGGAGGAGCGCGGGTGGAGCTTGACCCAGTGCCAAGGGACATCAGCGCTGGATTCAGGTGAGTGACAACCCCTTTAGCTGTGTGGGATTTGTTTTCCTCACAATATAGGATCCCTTTAAGAAACCGTTTGTGCTCAAAGACTTAACACTTTCAGCAGAAATTTGCTGGACTTACATTAGATGCTTTGAAGACAGGATGTCCAATGTCACAATTCAGAGATGACTGTAGAGTTTTGTGATCAGAACATTTGATGCTCGGAGAATTTGGCTACAAAAAAAAAGAAAAGAAAAACAAATTAATTGGAGTAGAAAAGGGCAATATTTCAGAAAAGGAAAATGTATCTCATGATACACCTAAACTAAAACATGTTATATGACGTGTAATATGCTTAAAGGGTTACTCCAAGCTTAATAACCATGACAGGGCACTGTAGAGATTATGCAACAGTTTGCCTTTTACCTGGGTCCCACTGGGAGCCAATGTCCTCTCATACTGCTGATTGACGTGACTTTTGTGCACAGAAATCTGGACAGAATTGACATTAGCAATTGCAGTGCCACAACAGGAACGTAGTCTAAATATTCTTGTATGTGCAGTGTTTCATTATGGATGCTACACATACAGGTTCCTGGCACAATAACCACTTCAAAACACTTACGTTTAAGTTTGAAATAACCCTTTAATATACAGTTATTGATAATACTGGTGCAATATAAAGAGGAAAAGGTAGAGTGCAAATAGTGATAATAATGATAATAGCATTCAAGTAAAAATATAATTTTAATCTATAGCATATATATATATATATATATATATATATATATATATATATATATACATTGCTCAAAAAATAAAGGGAACACTTAAACAACATAATGTAACTCAAAGTCAATCACACTTCTGTGAAATCAAACTGTCCACTTAGGAAGCAATACTGAGTGACAATCAATTTCACATTCTGTTGTGCAAATGGGATAGACAACAGGTGGAAATTATAGGCAATTAGCAAGACACCCCCAATAAAGGAGTGGTTCTGCAGGTGGTGACCACAGACCACTTCACAGTTCCTATGCTTCCTGGCTGATGTTTTGGTCACTTTTGAATGCTGGTGGTGCTTTCACTCTAGTGGTAGCATGAGACAGAGTCTACAACCCACACAAGTGGCTCAGGTAGTGCAGCTCATCCAGGATGGCATATCAATGCGTGCTGTGGCAAGAAGGTTTGCTGTGTCTGTCAGCGTAGTGTCCATAGCATGGAGGCGCTACCAGGAGACAGGCCAGTACATCAGGAGACGTGGAGACGTGCAAAATGACCTCCAGCAGGCCACAGAAAGAAACTCCATGAGGGTGGTATGAGAGCCCGACGTCCACAGGTGGGGGTTGTGCTTACAGCTCAACACTGTGCAGGACGTTTGGCATTTGCCAGAGAACACCAAGATTGGCAAATTCGCCACTGGCGCCATGTGCTCTTCACAGATGAAAGCAGGTTCACACTGAGCACATGTGACAGATGTGACAGAGTCTGAAGACACAGTGGAGAACATTCTGCTGCCTGCAGCAGTCTCCAGCATGACCAGTTTGGCAGTGGGTCAGTAATGGTGTGGGGTGGCATTTCTTTGGGGGGCCACACAGCCCTCCATGTGCTCACCAGAGGTAGCCTGACTGCCATTAGGTACCGAGATGAGATCCTCAGACCCCTTGTGAGACCATATGCTGGTGCGGTTGGCCCTGGGTTCCTCCTAATGCAAGACAATGCTAGACCTCATGTGGCTGGAGTGTGTCAGCAGTTCCTGCAAGACGAAGGCATTGATGCTATGGACTGGCCTGCCCGTTCCCCAGAATCCAATTGAGCACATCTGGGGCATCATGTCTTGCTCCATCCACCAACGTTACGTTGCACCACAGACTGTCCAGGAGTTGACAGATTCTTTAGTCCAGGTCTGGGAGGAGATCCCTCAGGAGACCATGCACCACCTCATCAGGAGCATGAACAGCCGTTGTAGGGAGGTCATTCAGGCATGTGGAGGCCACACACTACTGAGCCTCATTTTGATCTGTTTTAAGGACATTACATCAAAGTTGGATCAGCCTGTAGTGTGTTTTTCCACTTTAATTTTGAGTGTGTCTCCAAATCCAGACCTCTATGGGTTGAAAAATGTGATTTCCATTTTTTATTTTTTTGTGTGATTTTGTTGTCAGCACATTCAACTATGTAAAGAACAAAGTATTTCAGAAGAATATTTAATTCATTCAGATCTAGGATGTGTTATTTTTGTGTTCCCTTTATTTTTTTGATCAGTGTGTATATATATATATATATATATATATATATATATATGTACAGTTGCAAGAAAAAGTATGTGAACCCTTTTGAATGATATGGATTTCTGCACAAATTGGTCATAAAATGTGATCTGATCATTATCTAAGTCACAACAACAGACAATCACAGTCTGCTTAAACTAATAACACACAAAGAATGAAATGTTGCCATGTTTTTATTGAACACACCATGTAAACATTCACAGTGCAGGTGGAAAAAGTACCCTTAGGCTAATGACATCTCGAAGAGCTAATTGGAGTGAGATGTCAGCCAACTGGAGTCCAATCAATGAGATGAGATTGGAGGTGTTGGTTACAGCTACCCTGCCCTATAAAAAATGCACACCAGTTCTGGGTTTGCTTTTCACAAGAAGCATTGCCTGATGTGAATGATGCCTCGCACAAAACAGCTCTCAGAAGACCTACGATTAAGAATAGTTGACTTGCATAAAGCTGGAAAGGGTTATAAAAGTATCTCCAAAAGCCTTGCTGTTCATCAGTCCACGGTAAGACAAATTGTCTAGAAATGGAGAAAGTTCAGCACTGCTGCTACTCTCCCTAGGAGTGGCCGTCCTGTAAAGATGACTGCAAGAGCACAGTGCAGACTGCTCACGGAGGTGAAGAAGAATCCTAGAGTGTCAGCTAAAGACTTACAAAAGTCACTGGCAAATGCTAACATCCCTGTTAGCGAATCTACAATACGTAAAACACTAAACAAGAATGGATTTCATGGGAGGATGCTGCACATTTACAGTTTGCACAAGAGCACCTGGATGTTCCACAGCAGTACTGGCAAAATATTCTGTGGACAGATGAAACCAAAGTTGAGTTGTTTGGAAGAAACACACAACACTCAGTGTGGCGAAAAAGAGGCACAGCACACCAACATCAAAACCTCATCCCAACTGTGAAGTATAGTGGTGGGGGCATCATGGTTTGGGGCTGCTTTGCTGCGTCAGGGCCTGGACGGATTGCTATCATCGAAGGAAAAATGAATTCCCAAGTTTATCAAGACATTTTGCAGGAGAACTTAAGGCCATCTGTCTACCAGCTGAAGCTCAACAGAAGATGGTGTTGCAACAGGACAATGACCCAAAGCATAGAAGTAAATCAACAACAGAATGGCTTAAACAGAAGAAAAAACGCCTTCTGAAGTGGCCCAGTCAGAGTCCTGACCTCAACCCGATTGAGATGCTGTGGCATGACCTCAAGAAAGCGATTCACACTAGACATCCCAAGAAAATTGCTGAACTGAAACAGTTCTGTAAAGAGGAATGGTCAAGAATTACTCCTGACCATTGTGCACGTCTGATCTGCAACTACAGGAAATGTTTGGTTGAAGTTATTGCTGCCAAAGGAGGTTCAACCAGTTATTAAATCCAAGGGTTCACGTACTTTTTCCACCTTCACTGTGAATGTTTACATGATGTGTTCAATAAAAGCATGGAAACATTTCATTCTTTGTGTGTTATTAGTTTAAGCAGACTGTGATTGTCTATTGTTGTGACTTAGATGATGATCAGATCACATTTTATGACCAATTTGTGCAGAAATCCATATCATTCCAAAGGGGTCACATACTTTTTCTTGCAACTGTATATATATATATATATTTTAACATATGATTACATAACTTTCCCATTTTAATGTTAAAGGGTTACGCCAAGTAAGATCACTAAGTGATTATGGTGCTTGGAGTAACCCTTTAATTTATTATCACATAAAAATGACACCATGTATTTCTTACCGTTTTTATGATTTTGACTTGCAGGTTGTTGGGGTAGGCTATGAAAATAGTGGTCCTGTATGAGTCATCACCAGAGTTGATAAGGGTAAAATTCACTGTCAAATCTTTGGTTTGTCCAACTACAAGCCCCTTCCTAAAGTAAGGGAAATTTATAGTGAATGATGTATTGGTTTATCACGGATAAAGACTCTAAGCCAACATGAAGATTATTTTGACATACCTAGATTCTTCTGTTATTAACTTTAAGATAGGAATGCAGGTAGTCTTATTATTGCAGTCTTTCACATAAGGAAGCTGTAATAAAGAAGCAACACAGTTTAGTAGTGTTATTTGTTTCATTTAGTTTAATACCTTTGCCAGCACATTTAACATCATAATAGACTTGTGCATGGCTCGAAAATGTGGTTCTGCGGAACAACTTTGTCTAAAAATAAAATTTAATTTGGGATGTCTGATATTCGTGTATATGATGGTTTGCCTCGCCCAAATTTTGAAACATATTTGGAGACAAACAAGTCAAAAAAGGCTAGACAATATGTGCCTTTTGCAATGCAAAAATAACTACAATATCACCTAGCCTGATGGCTAGGAAGGCTAGGCAATATCAGGATTTATACAATGGGAATCCTGAGTTTTCGACTTGTCATAGTGAGGTTATTCTAAATATTCTATTACAAAAATTAAGTGAAAGGACTTAGTGATGATTATTTTTTCCTTTTGCAATCTTGTATTAATGAATACAGAGGAACAACTGCAGCAGGAGTCATTTTAATCTAAAAACAAGGCAATTCTTCAATAAAATGAAAGTTAAAAGCCATTGGGCAATGGACGACCCACTCACCCCTTCCCACACATTAAGTCTGTAGCGTCAGTGGCCCTCCTTCAGTTTTTGAAAACCAAATAATGCCCTAGCAGTAGTAGGAGTTTTTTTTAATTTGAAAAGAGCTAATTTTTCAACAAATGAAATGGAATGGGTGAGTGAGTCATTTGCCCACTGACTTTGTCCTCTTATGAAACTGAAAAAAATTTAATTACTCCTGCTGCTTCTCTCCCTTTTTACAACTGCCTCTTATTGTAGTGGTTTAGTACGTCTTGTGATGTCTGCTAGGACACTGTTTTTTCACACTGAAGGACTGTCATTGATGCTACAGACTGGAATTGTGGCAAAGATTTGTTCTTCTCAGGGTGGATGGGTTGAGTAGCAACACAAGACTCAGCCAAGCAGGGCTAAACAACGGCAATGAAAGGCATTTGAAAAAAAATGGAAACTGTAGCAGCAGCAAGAGTAAAGTAATTATTTTTATTATAATTAATGTGAAGAGCAGGGTAACCCAATTTGGGAAGTTTTAACCCGTGGAATGTTATTTGCTCCACCAGTTGCGGGGACATTTGTGAGTGTTGTGGACAGAAAACTCAATTCAACAGAAAACATTCCGCAACTTTGGACAGTGGTTGATGGATATGGAAAGGCCACATACTCTTCTTGTCCTTCCAGTAGCTCAGAGGGTCAGCAGTAGAAGACAAAGTAGGTGTAGACAGATAAAGTATGAACATTTCAGAGGCAGTGGTCTCCTTTCAACTACTTCCTCTTTGACATGCTCCGAACAAAATGCAAAGAGCCTCTGCCCAAAACACATATGATCTACAGTGATGTGTTGTGGTTGTGCTGCTGCTAAGAATAACACACATGTCAAGCTCAATCTGCAAATCTTCCTCAATGAGCATGCCTAATTTTTTTCTGAAAATCAGGCTGTTATTGTCCTACACTCACATCCCAGCGGCTACCCAACTACAATGTACTGTTTGGAAAACCACTACGAATTGCCCTCTGCTGTTCCAAAAATTTTTACAGCATGTCAAAACTGGAGTTCCACTACGTGCTGGTAACTTGTTGCTGGTGTGTGGGAAGCCCTGTTTTCTTTTGCTCCTGTCTCAAGACTTGGATAACCTTCACTATGATAGAAATGACCAGCAATCATCCTGCAATGATCAAGTATGTTGTCACCTTTGTGTTCCCTTCTAGAACTGCACTAAAATATGTAGTATTTTAAAAGTGCACACCTACAAAGGAACCAACCAATCTCAAAATACTTGTTAGCAGCTCCATTGTTGACCAAAAAAAACAGATGTCAACATTGGTGCCTGTCTGCTCACTCAAACAATTGGCCACTATTCATCTTATTGCCTGCAAAATGTTTTCTGAAGTGTAGATTTTGCAGTGTTGAGGGGATGAGTTATATCATCATTAGATTCATCATCACCATTACTACTTTGGTACCCTTCTTTACCTCTTCGTTACAGGTTAGACTCTGCTGAGCTATCCCTTAGTTTTTTCTTGGGGACAGCTACAAGTAATAGGGGATTGCACTGGAAAGAGCAACAAGTCCACTGGTTTCATTCATTTCTTGCTTTGACCATAAAACACAGAAGGTATAAAACAAATCACAGTCAGAAGGCTATTTCAGATCTGGAACTAGTTTAAAAAAAAAAAAGATTTAATAGGAGCAATTTTTGACAACCAATTAACATCCAGAGGGCTGATATGGTCATACTTTTCTTTTCCCCTCACTTGGAACTTGGATTATGTTAATAAGCAGTTATGGAGCTCTACAGTAATACAAGGTAAGGTATGTAAAAAAAAAAAAAAAAAAAAAAAAACTACAATTGGAGCAAGCCAGTCCACAAAAACAAAGAATATAATCTCAACCTCCTGATTGCTGTATAAAGGGAGTTTTTCTTTGATGAGAACAGCTCACAAACCAATACAACACATCTGCATTGAAGGAACTAGAATCAAACGTTAGAACTATCCATCCAAAAAATGCATTTGTACCTTAATAAAATATCTATGGTATTGTGGAGCGGTCCAACAATTTTTTTTTTTACATATTTGCATACCTAAATCCAAATCATGTAAGGCATTTTCTATGATTTGTTCCAATTTAAAAGAACAGCACTATAACCATTACAGTGGTTATGGTTCCAGGCATCCTCTGCGGCCATCTCACGATAAAGAGTAAAACCATTTGAAGTGGTACCTGTGTCCCCTTCCAGTTTTCTGTGATATCACTAAGCAGAGCTGGGACGGTGTGGAGCAATGGTTCCATACAGCACCTGAATATGGGCGGCATTTTTCCGCCCCTGCATCCCACCCATGTCCGCCACTAAAACAGCACAAGTGCAGAGACCCGGGCGCAATGAGGTGGGAGCGCCGTGCGGCCCAATCTCTGTGACAGGGATCTAGAGCGGCAATGCAAAGTAGGCATCTGCTTCCCCCACAGGGCAGGTGCCTACTCTGCCTATACATTACGTGTCGTGGGCGAGAGGGAGGCAGTTGGTTGCAAGGGAGCTCTCTTAGCTGTCAGGTTCTTCCTGCTCCTCTCGGCTCCTTCGCCCCTCTGTGGTGATGCCAGGCACGGAATGTGCCGTCTTTCTGGCACCGCATCACTAAACAGCGTGAGGGAGGAGAGAAGCACAAAGAACATCGATGCAACTGGACCCCAGGGAGAAGACGCTTAAGGGTAAGGAGACCTGATGGCCTAAAAAAGAAATACCTCAACACAAAATATAATTGATTTGTGAGTGTGTCTGCAAGAATGAGTAAATGTGTGAATGTGTCTGTCAGTAAGATTAAGTGTGTCTGTCAGTGAGAGTGTGTGTCAGTAAGAGTAAGTGTATCTGTCAGTGTGTGTGTGTCTGTCAGTGACTGTGTGTGTCTGTCAGTGACTGTGTGTGTGTGTCTGTGTGTGTCTGTCAGTGACTGTATCTGTCAGTGACTGGGTGTGTCTGTCTGTCTGTGTGTGTGTGTGTGTGTGTCTGACTGTGTCTGTCTTTGACTGTGTCTGCCAGTAAGAATAAGTGAGTCTGCCAGTGCGTGTGTGTCAGCCAGTGCGTGTGTAAGCCAAGAGTCAATCTTGATGATCTTAGCCAAGTCAATGCTTTGCCAAAGGAAAGCATTGGGAGTCTATTGCTCATGCATGGAAAAACGCCTGCTGCGCCAATCAACATTCATCTACTTTCGAGATGCATTGAATCAAAGGGAATGTTCAGCATCTCCATGCAAAGCGGGGAGACACTGAATGCAGGTGATGCACACTTTAGCACTGGACTAGGAAGCATCTCTAATGGCCGTCTAAAGTGACTGCCACTAGAGATGTTACTAGGCAGTAATGTAAACACTGACTTTTCATTATAGTATACCTTTAAATCAGGGAAGCCAAATATTGTGGAACTACAGCCCCTAGCTGCTTTGCCAACATAAGGTTGGCAAAGCATCATGGGATTTGTAGGTCTATCATATTGACATTTGGCATCCATTGGTTTTAAAACCGTTCTATACATATAACAAGTACAGTTTTCACTTGGAAGCACTTGATGTGAATCAACTCTTCATTGAGTTTTATTTTAGTTTTCATTTTTATGATCTAACACAGGGGTTGTTAACCTGGGCCCTACTGCCCACGAGTGAGCGATTCAGGCTTTAAGGTGGGCGGTGGGGTTCTGTGTAAAATGCCCGGTGGCCCGAGATGCGCAGGCCGGCAGAGGACATTCTGTCATCTCACCTGCCGGCCAATGCAGAGCCAGCCTTGCTGTGAGCCCTCTCAGACCCATGAGGAGTTCAAACATCTCACTCATCGGCCCACAAAAGTAGGCGGTAGGAATTAAAAGGTTGACTACCCCTTATCAAACATAATGGATGTGGGCGTGTTTTGGTGGAGGTGTTATTTTTGGGGGAGGGGGAGGCAGCATTTCATCCTTGGACCCAGGCAGCACAATGTCTTGGGCCGGCCCTGTCACTAAGGCAGAAGTTCCCATTACATTTCAGCAATATTTGGATATCATTTACAGGCTGTATATATGTTCTGTCTATATATTTAATTGTATTTGAAACCTTATAAATACTAACTGTTACGAATATCAGAACTTGACAAATTGAAACATACAGCTGCATTAGTTTAGAATATTAAAACTAAAAAAAGTACTTGGTAAAATCATACCTCAACAAAAGTGTATAGGGGTTCATACATATTCAGTATTGGTGCAGGAAGGTCACGTCGGAGCTGGTCTGCATTCAGCGTATAGGAAATTTTTATTCTAATATTACTGAAACAATCGTAATTACATGGCTGAAAAACAATAAACAATATTGTTAATTTTTACATATTTCAGTTCACTGTACACCAATTTAAAAAGATCATCAAAAACCATGCCACTCGTAACGCAAGTATGTATTATGTATTCAAGTTAAGATGGGGGACTTGGTAAATTAAATAGCCGTATTACCCTCTAAATCCATTTCCTAGCAATTATTAAGCCATGTTGTTGTCACCAATCCAATATATTTATATCCATAAAAACCTCTGTATTATTTTCATTTCATAGATGGACACAGCATGCAGAAACAAAGAGGTGACAGATTTATCATTATGTCCCTGTTCATCATTTTGTTTCCAAATCTGGTCTGCTTTAGCACTGGTTGGCATATATTATTATTACATTCTGTGTAGTTATTATGAACACAGAGGAAGAAGAGTAAAAAAAGGAAGAATAGACAATAAAGATTTGAATTATCTGTCTAGTTTAGACAAGAGAGATCAAGTTTGACCTGTACTCTATTGTACACAATAATGAACTTTAATTTCTTTAAAATGACAGTAATGTGTTCATCTCCAAGTTATTTAAAGGACCACTATAGTGCCAGGAAAACATACTCTTTTTCCTGGCACTATAGTGCCCTGAGGGAGCCATTTTTGAAGATGGCAAATGTAATTTACACCCATCAAACCATATATTTTGAAAAAAGAAGGCAACCCAGGGTATTCAATGTGGGTATGTCCAGTTTTTTTAGTAGCCACTTAGTCACAAACACTTATATTTATTTATATTTGTTTGTCTGTTAAAAATGCAAAAAACAATAATGAATGCTAACTTTGGCCAGTGTTTGTTACTAAGTGGCTAATAAAAAAGACTGAACATACCTCATTTGCAATACCTTGTGTTGTATTCATTTGTAAATAGTATGCCATCATGGGGGTAATTCTCATTCTGGGTTACCATATGCTCTCAAAGGCAACATTACCAATCTGGCAAATTTCAATGTGAAAAAACTGTCTTATATTTGACTCTGTAACTTTCAAAAATACTATAAAATCTGTACATGGGGGGTACTGTTTTAATCAGGAGACTTAGTTGAACACAAATATTAGTGTTTCAAAACAGTAAAATGTATCACAACAATGATATCATCAGTGAAAGAGCCATTTGTGTGTGAAAAATGCAAAAACTTAATTTTCACTGACAATATCATCACAGTGATATGTTTTAATATTTGTGTTCAGCAAAGTCTCCCAAGTAAAATAGTACCCCCATGTACTGGTTTTAGGGTGTCTTGAAAATTTACAGGGTAAAATATAGTGCTATCAAATTAAATTCTCTGGACTTTTGGCACGTCCCGCAAATTGTAATCAATAAAATTAATTATGTAGAAATATTACATAAATATGCACGTAGAATTTAAATATATTTATACATATTTATATATTTGAAGTTTACGTGTATATTTATGAAATTGTTTATGTAATTATGTATTATTTTTATTTATTTATATATACATATATATATATATATATATACATATACACACATATATATATACACAATTGTTGTAATTTTTTAAAAATAGTTTTTACATTTTTTATTTATTTTTAATTTTTTTATAATATATATATATATATATATATATATATATATACACACACACACAATATATACAGTTATTTTATATAGTTATTATATATATATATATATATATATATATATACACACGTGTGTAATTTTACTCTAAGTGTATTTTTATATTAATATATGTATTATTAAAAATTTTTATTATTATTTTTTTAATTGTAGTTTTTAAAATTATTTATTTTACTGAGTGCCTTGACACTTCGAGGAACTCAGCACAGGCAGAGCATTGGAAGCCTGCCTGATGGTTTTACTTGTTTCAAGCTGTGCTTCGCAGTCGCTGACTTTTTAATCCTGCAGATCAGTTGCCAGTAGGTATGTTAATGCTGTACTCTCTCACATGTAAGAGAGTACAACACAGAGGTCTACGGAGGATCCTGCGAGACCGCAGGAGCCTCCATAGACAATGCCAGTATCCCCCAGCTGTAACTTGTGATGGCTGCTGGGATTGACTAAAATTTGATGGCAGAGCTCCACCTTTTGTCAATCTCAGGCTTGTCTATAAGACAAAGTAGTCTCTGATTTGTCTTCTGGTACCATTGGATTGCTTTGGAAATTCATTAAGTTATTATCTCCTATAGTCTTAGCTTGCAATTTTTTTTTCTAAGCTGTAGAAAAGTCCTATATTCTTATAAACAGAATATACAAGTAGATGTAGGTGTTTTGTGTTGGTTTTTTTTTTTTTTTACGCCACAGCTATAATGTTTTATTGCATGCTATATAGGTCTGTGAAAAATTTTGATGAAGTTAAATCAAACAATTACCAGTAGAGCCATCAAAAGTCGTGTACAGTTCTTTTCAATCAAAGAAAGTGATCCTTTCTCAGAATCCTCCTTAAATGTTATGCGTTTTTCCTGCATGTCAACATCCAAGTCCAGAGAGTACTTGAGAGAGGTTTTTTTCATTTCTGAAAAGATATCACATTTCTATTGACAAAATGTATTACCCTAAAAACACGTAATGTGTGTTTCGACGTACAGTAAAACATTTTCATTTTTATACATAGTTTATGTCTGTGCAGTGATGTATCTACCGAGAGACTGGCAAGGCATTTGCCTTGGGTGGCCTTTCCAGGTGGGCGGCAAAATGCAGCCCTCCAAATGCCCCGGCAAATGCACTGATAATTGAGGCAGGCTGCGAAGGAGCACTCTCCCAGAAGCTCTCCCTGTTCAGCTCTCTCTTGCGCCCCACGGTGATGCCAGAGCCGGAATATGACATCACTCTGGCTCCGACATCACTGAGAGGCACGTGAGGGAGCTGAGCAGGAAAATCAGAGCTCCCTCGCCACCCGCCTCCACTGTGCCTGCAAGCCCGACCGTCTGTCTGCCGATATGCAGCCAGCCCTACTGGACCCCAGGAAAGAATCCACACTAGCACCCCCAAAGGTAGGGAGGCTGGGTGAATTGAACTTTAAAAAAAAGTGTATGTGTCTGTTACTGAGTGTGTTAGTGTGTGTGTGTATGTGTGAGTGTGTTAGTCTGTCTGTTAGTGAGTGTGTTAGTGTGTGTGTTTGTCAGTGAGTGTATGTTTGTGTCCGTTAGTGAGTGTGTTAGTGTGTGTGTCTGTTAGTGAATGTGTTAGTGCGTGTGTATGTCTGCTGGTGTGTGTGTGTAAATGTGTGTCTGTTAGTGAGTTTGTTAGTGTGTGTGTGTGTCTGTTAATGAGTGTGTATGTGTCTATCAAAGAGTGTGTGTGCCTGTCACTGAGAGTGTATATGTTTTTGTCAGTGAGTGAGTATGAGTGTTTGACACTGAGAGTGTATATGTGTTTGTCAGTAAGTGTGTGTGTCAGTGTGGGTATGTGTGTCTGCCACTGAGAGTGTGCCTGTCAGTGAATGTGTATGTCTGTTGGTGAATGTGTATGTCTGTCAGTGTGTGTCTTTAAGTGAATATGTGTGTTTGACACTGAGTGGGTATGTATGACACTGAGTGTATATATCTCTGTCAGTGAGTGTGTACATGTCTGTAAGTGTGTGTGTATGTGTGTTTGTCAGTGTGTATCTTTTAGTTAATAAATGTGTGTCCCAGTGTGTGTGTGTATGTCAGTGAGTGTGTATGCCTTTCTGTCAGTGTTTGTGTCTGTCAGTGAGTGTGCATGTGTATCTTGTCAGTGATTGTGTATGTGTGTCTGTCAGTGAATGCGTTCTGTCGGTGTGTATGTGTGTCTGTTGGTGAATGTGTGTGTGTGTAACTGTAAATGAGTGAGTGTGTTTGTCTGTGAATGTGTATGCTTCAGTGAAAGTGTGTGTTGGTTAAACAGTGTGTGTGACAATGACTGTGTATCTGTCAGTGAATGTATGACAATGTATGCATCAGTGAGGACGTGTGTCTGTCTTGAAGAAAAATTTGGAAAGGTGGGAGGTGCCCGAGTTTTGTCATGCCTAGGAGCACAGAAGCACACAACCAGAATACAGCTCTGTGTCTGTGTGAGTGTGCAGGTAATAGAGTGCCGGGTTCTTTTCAAATCCACTTTCAGTCTACCTCCACACACAGTTGAGTTTAATCAAGTGATACACTGACTAAACTGGCCCTGATAATGGAAGGTCAGATACCCTTCATGACATTCAAACTGGGCATTGTCTGAATCTGTCCTGAATAAAATGCAGCCATATCCTCCTACATAAGATATAAACCTAGCACTTTGTAGCTCATTGATAATCGTACACACTGCATGTCTTTGCTAAGAGCTCTACACCAACGCACACTACTTCTTACTGTCACTTTTATTGCTTGCACTTCTGATTCACTCAGACATACTGCACATTGCTGTGGCCTTCTGTGATACACTCATACACACTGTACAGTCAGGTCCATAAATATTGGGACATCGACACAATTCTAATCTTTTTGGCTCTATACACCAACACAATGGGTTTGAAATGAAACAAACAAGATGTGCTTTAACTGCAGACTTTCAGCTTTAATTTGAGGGTATTTACATCCAAATCAGGTGAACGGTGTAGGAATTACAACAGTTTTTATATGTGCCTCCCACTTTTCAAGGGACCAAAAGTAATGGGACAATTGGCTGCTCAGCTGTTCCATGGCCAGGTGTGTGTTGTTCCCTCATTATCCAATTTACAAGGAGCAGATAAAAGGTCCAGATTTCATTTCACAGTTTGTAAATGTGCCTCCCACTTTTTAAGGGACCAAAACTAATTGGACAGATTAACAGTCATAAATCAAACTTTCACTTTTTAATACATGGTTGCAAATCCTTTGCAGTCAATTACAGCCTGAAGTCTGAAATGCATAGACATCACCAGATGCTGGGTTTCATCCCTGGTGATGCTCTGCCAGGCCTCTACTGCAACTGTCTTCAGTTCCTGCTTGTTCTTGGGGCATTTTCCCTTCAGTTTTGTCTTCATCAAGTGAAATGCATGCTCAATCGGATTTAGTTCAGGTGATTGACTTGACCATTGCATAACATTCGACTTCTTTCCCTTAAAAAAACTCTTGGTTGCTTTTGCAGTATGCTTGGAGTCATTGTCCATCTGCACTGTGAAGCGCCATCCAATGAGTTCTGAAGCATTTGGCTGAATATGAGCAGATAATATTGCCCTTAACACTTCAGAATTCATCCTGATGCTTTTGTCAGCAGTCACATCATCAATAAATACAAGAGAACCAGTTCCATTGGCAGCCATACATGCCCAGGCCATGATACTACCACCACCATGCTTCACTGATGAGGTGGTATGCTTTGGATCACGAGCAGTTCCTTTCCTTCTCCATACTCTTCTCTTCTCATCACTCTGGTACAAGTTGATCTTGGTCTCATCTGTCCATAGGATGTTGTTCCAGAACTGTGAAGGCTTTTGTAGCTGTTGTTTGGCAAACTCTAATCTAGCCTTCCTGTTTTTGAGGCTCACCAATGGTTTACATCTTGTGGTGAACCCTCTGTATTCACTCTGGTGAAGTCTTTTCTTGATTGTTGACTTTGACACACATACACCTACCTCCTGGAGGGTGTTTTTGATCTGGCCAACTGTTGTGAAGGGTGTTTTCTTTACCAGGGAAAGAATTCTTCAGTCATTCACCACAGTTGTTTTCCGTGGTCTTCCTGGTCTTTTGGTGTTGCTGAGCTCACCAGTGCGTTCTTTCTTTTTAAAGATGTTCCAAACAGTTGATTTGGCCACACCTAATGTTTTGCTATCTGTCTGATGGGTTTATTTAGTTTTTTCAGCCTAATGATGGCTTGCTTCACTGATAGTGACAGCTCTTTGGATCTCATATTGAGAGTTGACAGCAACAGATTCCAAATGCAAATAGCAAACTTGAAATGAACTCTGGACCTTTTATCTGCTCCTTGTAAATGGGATAATGAGGGAATAATACACACCTGGCCATGGAACAGCTGAGCAGCCACTTGTCCCATTACTTTTGGTCCCTTGAAAAGTGGGAGACACATATACAAACTGTTGTAATTCCTACACTGTTCATCTGATTTGGATGTAAATACCCTCAAATTAAAGCTGAAAGTCTGCAGTTAAAGCACATCTTGTTTATTTCATTTCAAATCCATTGTGGTGGTGTCTAGAGCCAAAAAGATTAGAATTGTGTCAATGTCCCAATATTTATGGACCTGACTGTACATCACTGTGAGTTTTATTGCTGTGACTTTCTGTGATACACTCATACACACTGTGCATCACTGTGAGCTTTATTGCTGTGGCTTTCTGTGATACACTCATACACACTGTACATCACTGTGAGTTTTATTGCTGTGGCTTTCTGTGATACACTCATACACACTGCCCATTACTGTGAGTTTTATTGCTGTGGCTTTCTGTGATACACTCATACACACTGCACATTACTGTGAGCTTTATTGCTGTGGAGCTCTATGATACACTAATGCTCACTGCACATGAGAGTCAGAGTTCTTGGTAACTCCACAGGATAAACCACCTAGCTTCATCTGTAGGTGTGAATGGGCTCAGTACCTGGTTCTTTTATCCTATAAATACCCCTGATATTAAATATTATGGCTTTTTCTTTAGTTTATGATTTTGGTTTAACGACACTCCATTGTTGTATTTTAGTTTTCATTTAAAGTTACCTGTGGCTTTTAATGGTGAAACGTCAAAGCAGATGTCCACAATTAGTTCATCATTGGTAAGGATAAGTGGAATTTCACTTGGCTTGAACCGCACTTTGGCTGTTATTTTAACAACTGGGCGAGACCTATCACAAGATAAAACAATTTGATTTTCAAAAAGTATTTACATGAAATTATGTCAAATATAAAAAAAACAAAGCCAAGTTAAGCGTATGTGTGAAGAGACCCAACTCTTTTTCACTGCTTGCTAGTAAATGTATCCTTCCATGCTGCATTTATATTATGGTCTCCACAAAGAATGAAACTTCACAAGTATCACTAATAACAGGTACAGAATATAATTTTAATATGCTATTTGAAAAGTTGACTAAATGATGCACCAATGTACCAAAGTTTGCACATTCCTCTGCTCAAATACACACAAAAATTAACAGAGCACTATTTAGTAGAAATACGCCACATGAATACAGGCATCCATTTATTTATGGATTTATTTTTTTTAAATAAGAATATATCTAAAAACAGCTTGCAAAATCTGCAGTTCTCTTGTCTGCCCTCCTCTTATAATCCCGCCCTGACTTTTTGTGGCTGTCCAATCACAGACTTCCCAATGCAGCTCAATGAGAAGTCTTTGCAAGGCAGGTATTCTGGGCAATTGCTGCATCTTGAGTTTAGCTCCACTGAGCTAATCAAACCAGGAAGTAACAGGACTGGTTGTCTGATTGAAAGTCAGGGGTGGGGTGTAACAATGTTAATGGGACACTCTGTTGCCCAAATATTTTTTTATTTTTTTTAATCATTGTTTAATAGATATACTCCTAATGAAAATATGCATGCATGTAATTATTCATTTTGTCATTGGGGGTATATCTAAAAACAGCTTGCAAACAGCTGCAGATCTCTTGCCTGGAGCCTTTATAAACCCTCCCCTTCTGACAATGCCCAGACAGTCTATGGCTGTCCTATCACAGACTTTCTAATGTAATGAGAAGTCTTTGGAAGGCAGGTGCTATGAACAATTGCTGCCTCTTGAGTTTAGCTCCACTGAGCTAGACTACCAGGAAGTAACAAGTCCTGTTGTCTGATTGACAGCCAGAGGGATAAAACAAGGTTAATTTAGAAAAGTGCCAATTTCTATTGAAATCTGCAACTTTTTTAAAATGAAAAATGGAGGACACACTCTTCACTTGCAATATCACTAGTAAATAGAAATGAAAGATTTTGTCAATGCTAAAAATAGTATGAACTAACGCTTAGTATAGGTCTCTGGAAACAGCCAGAGAAGTACCCTTTGCAATTTTAATACCCCTAACAGGCTTAGTCACTGAAATGTGTTTGAAATCCCTAGGGGTTTATTTGCCTAAAACCACATTTTATGCAAATGTAAAAAATCCAGTAAAAAATATCATATTTCATCTAGATTTGTTTTCCTAATTTTCACAGCAAATCCATTTTTTGTCTGGCTTGAAACTAGCAAATTTCACATTAATATAATATATGATTCACATATTTAGCAAACACCATTGCATGACAGATTGCTACTGGATCTTGTCCAGAAATATGCAAATCCAGTAAATAAATGTATGTTATTTGGCAGGTTATTTTATTTAAAGGACACTTCTTTATGTATTTATTTTTATCTTAACTATTTAGTAGATATACCCTATAGAAAAGATGTAAGTATATTTTTCTGCATGTTTTCTTTTTGTGTATATGAAAAACATCTTGGAAAAGCATCAGCAATTAAAAGCCCTCCCAGACAGCTGACCAGTCAGAATCTTCTCATCTATGCTAGATCTGTGAGCTTAAACACACAAACAACTGCCTTACCAATGTTTCTCAACAAGCTGTAGTGCTCACGTGAGAGGTTGCACATTGTAGTCATATGTATATATACCAAAGTGAATTTCCACTTACCTCAACACTATAACACTTGCTAGAGCTCCCACTGACATGTCAGGATAACCATCATTCGTAAGGTCCAGGCCGCCATCTATGGACTGGCCAAAGTACTGCAGTTTTTGTTTGTTCAATGTTAATGCTGTGATTCGCTTTTGAAGTGGAAAAGATATTTGACTCATTATCATGTACTGCCATTACATGCTTTAGTTGCACATTGAATTAATGTTCTATAAAGCTTTATACTTCATATTACTAGATATTTGTGGAAGTAATCATTATTAGCAATCAATATACAGTTGTAATCAAAATTATTCAACCCCCATTAAAAATCTGGTTTATTTTTATAAATTTACAGACTTTCAGCGGTTTTCAATAAACAATTTAAATATTTGCGAAGGTCGATGATCTCTTCTCTTAACTTTGTGGACCTTATTTTTGGCTTAGCCATATTTTCTTTGTCCAGTGTAAGAAATTATTTAGGGCAGATATTTGCCTAATATGGGATTGAAAAATTTGCAAGAGAGTAATAAAGTTTCATATGGATTTATTAAAAATGCAAAACGCTCATAACCAATACAACAATGCTGGGCTTAATAGAATGGTGCTTTATTAGAGTAATGAGGAGAAAGATAACTTTAGCCATTGCTAAATGAGAGTCAAATGTAAATAATAACAATGTATCAACAGACCTGAGAGGGTATTCTACGAATTCCATCTTTTTTGCCATTGTAGATGTAAACACTTCCAAAATTATCAGGTTGTTCAAGATGGCCTTCTAGAGGAGCTCCTACGGCAATATCTTGGTAACCGTCTTGATTAATGTCACCAATACTAGCTACAGAATACCCAAACCTGGCAAATGAATAAGAATTTTGCTCTAGTGTATAAACCAATGTAAAATTGCCCTGTAGGAAAAAAAATTATAACTATTAAAACATTTACATGCATGTGTTTTTTTTTCTTTATTTTTGCATAATCAAAAATTCTTCTCCTAATCTTGTTTATTTGTATACCGGTATATTGTGTGTTTGATTTCCAAGTTATTGTTTTATACACATAGAGGTTTACCCTAGTAAGACATTTTTGTTCTGATTACAGTCAGAGAATGGTAATTAGTGATGTCGCGAACATAAAATTTTTGGTTCGCAAACCGCGAACGCGAACTTCCGCAAGTGTTCGCGAACCCGGCGAACCCGGCGAACCGCCATAGACTTCAATAGGCAGGCAAATTTTAAAACCCACAGGGACTCTTTCTGGTTGAAGGGGCTACTCTCCTCCCGGGCGGCGGGTGGGGGCCATAAAGATAATGAGGGGGGACCTACAGTCCTCCCACTCTCCGGCCCCCACCCCTGGGCGGCGGGTGGGGGCCATGATGATAATGAGGGGGGGGACCTACTGTCCTCCCCCCTCGGCCCCCATCCCTGGGCGGCGGGTTGGGGCCATAAAGATAATGAGGGGGGACCTACAGTCCTCCCCCTCTCCGGCCCCACCCCTGTGCGGCGGGTGGGGGCCCTAAAAATAACAATAAGGGGGGGACCTACTGTGTCCCCTGGCCCCCACCCCTGAGCGGTGGGTGGGGGCCCTAATAACAATAAGGGGGGACCTACTGTCCCCCCACGGTCCCCACCCCTGAGCGGTGGGTGGGGGCCCTAAAATTAACAATAAGGGGGGGACCTATTGTGACTAGGGTCTCCCCCCTTTGTATTTAGGGCCCCCACCCACCGCTCAGGGGTGAGGGCCGGGGGGGACAATAGGTCCCCCCTTATTGTTAATTTTAGGGCCCCCACCCACCGCTCAGGGGTGGGGCCGAGGGGGGGACAATAGGTCCACCCCTTATTGTTAATTTTAGGGCCCCCACCCACCGCTCAGGGGTGGGGGCTGTGGGGACACAATAGGTCCCCCCCTTATTGTTAATTTTAAGGCCCCCACCCACCGCTCAGGGGTGGGGGCCGGAGGGGACAGTAGGTCCCCCCTTATTGTTATTTTTAGGGCCCCCACCCACCGCTCAGGGGTGGGGGCCGGGGGGGGGACAGTAGGTCCCCCCCTAATTGTTAATTTTAGGGCCCCCACCCACCGTTCATGGGTGGGGGCCGGGGGGAGGACAATAGGTCCCCCCCTATTAGTATTTAGGGACCCTTTTTTTTTTTTTTTTTAACAGTGAGCAGCCACAGGCTGCTCACTGTTTAATAGACATGCCCCTACTCGCGGTATTGCGAGTAGGGGCACAATTTACTAATACTAAGTAATTTTTACTTAGTATTAGTAAATTAATAGGGGGCGGATCGAACCGCGAACACACTATGTTCGCCGTGAACTATTCGCCAGCGAACCGTTCGGGACATCACTAATAGTAATTAACTTTAAGTGTTTAGTCTTTCCCTTTTTTAAACAACACAGTGTGTATAACTTGACTATGTTGGCTCACCTCAGGCTGAACTGCTCCATTAGTAAGGTTAAACACTAGGGAGAATCAGTTGACATTCCGATAGAACCAAGAAAATATGCCCAATGTTTGAAACAGACCCAACATGTACTCAATGACTTGAAAACTGGACACAATAGACAAATTCACAATGTGCAGACAGATTTAGGAAAAATCACAAGTTATTTATACAATGAATCAATACTGCATACTAGCTACATACCTCTAGCTATTTCCACGCATATATTCTCAAAACGTTTTCTATAATTTTTGTATATAACACAATCATCTTACCATGTTGTTTATCTTATAAACGTAAACTTTTCCTTCCTCTCCTCGAATATGATAGAAAGGTGCTCCCACCAGGAGAAAATCAGTATAGCCATCAGATTCAATATCCACAGTGCAGAGCTCAAAACCAAAGTAGGATCCAAGCTGTTTATGAAAAAGAAACAAAAATATAAAAAGTTGGATATTTTTCTGTACATAAGGGACACTCAGTAATAAAGTCTCACTGTCTGGATGTACTCAATGTAAGGCAATTTCCATTACACCAAATTAACTAAGAAATCAGTTTACATTTTTTTTAATTTCATAATATAAAGTGGTTTCAGGATTACTGTTTTATAGCTTACCTGTTCTCCTTTTAGATAAATGGGATGATAGGAAGTGATGTCCTCCTCAAACGCTATGACTTGTCCAACATTGGAATGGTGTGGAGCTCCGGCAATGTAGAAGGTGTATATTTTTGTCTGTGCTATTGTTACACTGTATCCTGATATGTATGGAGAAGGATCAGAAACAGAGAAAGTCAACAATTGTTTTCAGTTTTTATAAATATTAACAGGCAGAAGTGCGGTGACATTCGATCATCAAACTAATATAGTGACCAGGGATCATGTGTTCAAGCTCATGTATGCCTTTCTTGCAGAGGACTAAGCTTTACCATGTGATATGGTAATTAGGTAATTCAATATTTATACAAGTCAGAAAGAAATAACCACTTCCCTCTATCTCCATTCTTCTCTGTTCATTTTTGGTTGTGCTATTATTATTATTATTAGTAGTAGTAGTAGTAGTAGTATTTATATAGTGCCAACAAATTCTGCAGTGCTTTGCAATAGGTACAATAGGTAGATGAAGACCCCGCTCAAACGAGCTTACAGTCTAGATGAGGTGTGGTACAAATACACAACAGGGCAGCAAGGCTGACAGCCACCAAACAAGGTGGAAAAGTAGCAGAGCTGGAGGTGAGAGTGGAGTATGGCTCTTCAGGAGAGCAAGAGACAGACTTGGGTAAGTATAGATAAGTTACTCTGGGAGTCCATAAGCATTTCTGAACAGATGTGCAAATATGTGAGCAGGCATGAGCTAAGGTTATCATGGTGAATTGTGAATGGGTTCTGGTGGCTTTTTTTTTTGTTATAAGGTTTAGTAGTTGCTGCTGTTGTTGTTGTTGATTTAGTTAGTTCGATTGTGTGTCATTCTTTGATAAAATAGACTGACCAGATTTTATATGTATACATCCTTTATATAGTTTGGTAATACACCACAAGGAGGACCACTGAAAGTCATAGATAAAGGCTTTATGCTTATTGTAACGGACCGTTTTGCACACAAGGGGTAAAAACCGTTTAGGCGATCGGCCCCCTTTCCAGAGATACAGGCACAGCTACTGCAGAACACCAAACTCCCGAACTGGATACAAAATAGCACTCCAACCCCCGAACTGGAACCTCCCAAATAGCTGCTAGCAGACGAACAGGAAAAGCAGACAATCAGCTTACACTCCTGGCAATCAGTCTCTAACAGCATACAGTGAATCCCCCCAAGAACGAGACAAGGCTCCGTGTTGAGGGTCAAGCAGTGGTCTGAGGTGCTGGCACACCCAGCCTGGTTTTTATTACAGTGTTTTCAAATACAGGACCGCCCACAGGGAGGTATAAAACAACCAATAACATCACAGTTACATCCCACATATTCCCTCCCCTTATCCTGAGAGGAAACTCAATTATACATACAGTTAAAACATACTTTCTATCCAACTTTCATAACTCTAAAACCATACATCACATTCACATAAAATTACACATTCACAATCAATCCATTCAGGGGAACAACATATTAAAAAATGGCCTGAATCAGACCAGGGGTTCAAAAGTTAGTAAAAAGTCCTTTGTGACTAAATGAAGCATGGCTTTCTGGCCCAAACCAGTTTCAGAGTCTTCTATCCTGGAGATAAGTAATTCAATTATCTCCCAGGACAGACACAAGACTCCATTAAGCACATGGTTGCAAAAAGACACAAAACACTTTAAAATACATAAAGTCACATTTATACATAAAACACAGACATTTCACATATCCCCAGATAGCTCAGGTCTGAGCGCACATTATTAAGTGAATGGCGCTCAGACCACACGAATACAGTTTAATCGCCATGGAGCCAAAGTCTTTACAGTCAGTTTCATACAAATGGGCTCCATGGGATTCCTATCTGGGGTATAACACATTCAAACAAATCTACTGAACCCCAGGCAGAAAAGCACGAATACAGCTTTTCTGCAGGCAAAAATAAAGTCTTTTAAAAGGGGGCCATAGTCCAAAGGCAGCAGGCAAGCAACCAGGCTTCTCCAATGCAATGTGGCGAGATTGGTCTCGTCACACTTATCTATTTTAAGAATTCAGCATTCTTAAAATTTATATTTTCAAATATTCAGCAATTGTATTTGGCTCACTAAACCATAACTGTTGAGGATTCAAATGTAATTGTGACCTTTAGGTCAAAACAGCTGCTATTTTCCCAACTTTATAATTATAACCTAAACTCTCCACAATCTCTCTAGCACTATTTAGTCGATGAGAAATCAAAGCACATTCACACATCCTGAACCAGAGTGTAAATGACAATGACAACCAGTGCATTACCAGATTCCACTTGGGATATACAAGGGGTACATACAGTTTCTTTATTCATTACAGGTTTTCAAGTACTAAAGTCTTTAATCTAATATAAACAATGTATATTGTTTCACCCAATTATCTTGGTGCAGTGGATTCCTTCAGAAGCCCATCATACAAGTCAAGGTACCCTTTTTGAAGAATTAAAATGCAATATGTATCATTCTCACATGCTAAGTGGAGACCCGGACACCTGTGAGGTACCAGACATTGACAGTATTGATGATGATGAATGTGGTAAGTAAAGGTGGTCATAAAAATATTGTAACTAAAGTTTGAGGTTTTTAACATGATATTTATTTAGAATATTTAGGAGTAAGTGGTCTAAGACATGAGATGCATCAGATCTGAAGTTTGCTGTGATCACTCATTTAATTTGTATTGCACCAGACTATAAATAAACCTTTATTGTTAATAAAAAACGTATTGTAAATTTTACACATGTATGGCCTTTTAATTATATGCCCACTGCGAGCTATTAGAAAGCAAGGCAAGTTTTAAATGTTAGTTTTCTGAAGCACATGCGCAGAGCTTGATTTTGGAACTAATCATTGGTGGAAAGTTTGTTTAACTAAGCATTTTTTACTTGTGGGGCACTGGGTCGTAGTGAGATTCTACACAAAATATTTTTGTTTTTTGATGCCCACTGTAAACCCTTAAGGGACCACAGGGCAAATTGCAGGGAGGATTTTCGTGAGGTGGCACTTTTCATATGTTTTACAAAGTTAATTTCAAATTTAAGATCAAAATAGCCAAACTATAAAAATTCTCTAAGTCAGTTATGTTTTCGGTTCATCTACTGGCCTTAAATTTGAAATTCACTTAGAATTCTCTCTTTAGTAAATTATCCTGTGAGACTTGCTGTTGACAAGGTATGCTACTCTCTCTCTCTTCTTTTATAGCATATCATTCAATAGAGAGAGGTTGAATTTATTGTGGCTGCTGCAAATAACAGCTGTTGCCTTGGAGCATAATTATAATCAATCTCAGGAAGCTGAGACTTGTATGATTAAAGAAATTCTAAACTAAGTTCCAAAGCGAATTCTAAAAAAATATATTTTAAGTAATCATTATATAACTATAACACACACAATGCCTAAATGCTTATGCAGGGAAAATAATGCCTTTTCATCTCATGGTTTATTATGATGTCTCCAAAGCTCATCAACCAGATCGCACCCCTATGTATATTTATACTGTAATTAATAGTTATTAGAAAATTGATTATGTACAATTCCATTTTGTAGTCGTCTTACCTAAATATCCATATTTTGATGGTTTTGAATTGTCTTCTGAAATGGTTTCTCTGAGAAATTCCACTTTGTGTGGATGCTGAGTTTGATAAAGTAACATTCCTCCCGACCAGTCAAATGAGCCAACAGCACCAAATACGAAGGACTGTTGCACAGAAACATGTAAAAAGAGTTCAGTCATTAATGGTTATGATCTGTAAAAACTGTCAAATAGTACAACACAGACACACTGCATACACTACACTGACACACACACTGCATACTGTACACTGACACACACACTGCATACACTACTACAACACACACTGCATACACTACACTGACACACACTGCATACACTAGTACAACACACACTCTGCATACACTACACTGACACACACTTTGCATACACTAAACTGACACACTTTGCATACACTAGTGCAACACACACACACTGCATACACTACACTGACACACACTCTGCATACATTAGTACAACACACACACTGCATACACTACACTGACACTCTGCATACACTAGTACAACACACACACACTGCATACACTA